TAGGCTAGGAGGATTAAGCTTTATAGCCACTATTACAAAAGTTATTAAGGTTTTAAATTAGGTCACATGACTTAGATTTTAGTGTGGTTAATGCAGTCGCCGCTCTGGCCATGGCGCCGCTCTGGCCACGACCTACGTTAACGCCAACTGACGTATAGCTAGTGTTCAAGATGTAAATTTAGTAATGGTAGAACATGTCAAATAAAGCAAGCCTCTCATCGCGAAATCATATAATATAACCAAACAACGAGTGAAACTCGAGTAGTGACGAAGGATGAAGGTACTATAGTATGAGGGAAACTCTAACGTTCAACGTTGAGCCGAAATCTGACGCATGGTGGCTAGTCACGATCTAAAACAAGATCCAACCAAGAACAACGAGGGGTCCCCACATGCGACTACATCCTTCCTACCTAGACAACTCCATCGTCGTCGATGTAACCCGGGAGGAGTAACTCGATGTAGGATTTGAGCGTCTGTACGAACTTGGTAGTAATAATGAGAGTGATAGGGTGATGGTAATGGGGAAGGAGCGCCGTTGTGTAATCACCAGGTGCTATGTAAGACAAGTGATAAACAAGGATAGAGCAGAAGGATCATGGCGTGCATATGAGGTGGAACAAGACCATTTAAACAGTTGATCTTCCTCTCCTCTCCTTTCTCCTTTACTTCCTTCTCCGCTACCTACTTCCATCCTCTTTTCTTTCCCTCTCTTTTTCTCCCTACTTGATCTAAACCTCCTACCTGTCTCCGTCCGACACGTTGATTAAGAGAAAAGCAGAGCCATGGTCCCTCCGGAAGCGAAGGGGCACGACAATTCCGTGCGAGAGCGTGACGATGCGCATCTTCAGCGAATGGGGAAGAAGCCCGTCCTTAAGGTACTTTTGATACCACTATCACCATCATTACCATAGTTTTGGGGCGAGAGGAAAACATAGGGGAGGATGAATCTATTCACTATATTTGCTGATCAGTGCCTCTCTATAGCGAAACTTTGGCATTCTTTCCATACTCGGCTTTAGCTGCACCATCCTTGGTACCTGGGAAAGCTTGCTTGGGTAAGTCCAGACGATCGTATGCTCGAGTGTCTGATAGATTTATATTGCTAATCGTTTCCCCCCTCATTTTTCAGTACCTTTACCGGCCCTCTTAGAAAGTTTGTATACTCCTTAGGCACCTCGCCGTTCCGTTATTATCACTACACCTACTGATATATATTATTAGTGGTGGCTCGGGTGGCGCGATTTATGCATTCATCTTCGGCTGGGTAGGCACCTTTGCCAGTTTCATGGTTTTGGCCGAATTGGCCTCGATGTATGCTGCTCGCCCCTTAGTTGGTACAGTGCCAGAGCTGCAACTAACAGGTAAAATAGGGCACCTACTTCCGGAGGCCAGTATCACTGGGCAGCTATGCTTGCCACGCCCAAACACATGAAGTTCATTAGTTTCATCACAGGTTGGTCTCTAGTTCGCGCCCAGAACGATGATTGTTTGAGATTACTAAGGCTTGGGGTCCACAGGGTGGTTTACCGTCCTTGGTTGGCAGTGTGCTTTCGCCGCGGTCGCCTTTCTAACAGGGAGCATGATCCAGGGCGCGATAATACTAGGGAACGACCTATATCATGCCATGCCATGGCATTCAATGCTGATTTGTTGGGCTTCGTTAAGTTTTGCACTGATTATCAACTTAGTCGGCGGCAAAATCCTACCCCGTGCTGGGGTGGTCCTCCTAGTCGTGCATATTGTTGGCTTCTTCGGGGTCCTCATCCCACTTGTCTACATGGCCGAACACAACACAAAGGAGCAAGTGTTCTTGTCTTTCCATAATGGAGGAGGCTTTGAGACACAGGGACTATCCTGGTTCGTCGGTATGACGACCTGTGCATTTGCCTTTGGTGGAGGTGATGCTGCCGTGCATGTAGGTAGCCAGTTGCTATTTAATCTGAGCCCCTGTCCCTCCTGTCTCTAGATGCTCTTTCCTAACGAGATTCCGAATAGATGGCTGAAGAGATCGCGAATGCTTCCAAGGTCATCCCGCAAACCCTCATGCTCAGCATCGGGATTAATGGTTGCCTCGGATTCGGCATCTTAATCGCCACAATGTTCTGCACTGGTCCGGATCTTGGCGGAAAGTTGGGGGGGATTACTGGTTATCCCTATATGGGCATCTTCTTAGAAGCGACCAACTCTGTATCGGGTTCGTTAGCCATGTCTGCCATCATCCTCGTTGTCTACATCGGCGCGCTCATGGGCTTGCTTGCTGCCGCCTCTCGCCAGCTCTGGTCCTTCTCTCGGGATAGGGGGGTCCCGGGATGGCGATTGTGGAGTCGAGTAAGGAATCACTCGATCACCTTGAAGTCTTCATTTATCATAAAGCTGACGCCTTGCCGCAAACAGATCTCCACCTCTAGACAGTTGCCGGTACCCGCCCTTATAGTCTCAGTGACTATAGCTTGGCTGCTGGCCATATTAGAATCGGGTCTAATGTCGCCATGGAGAACATCGTGTCTATGGCAGTATCGGCCATCTACCTATCGTACCTCATGGTATCGGTCCTCCTCTTCGTCCGCCGCGTCCGCCGCGACATATCCCTGTACAATGACAGCGAGGACGAAATTATCAACGTGCCAGGCGCTAAGCTTGTCTGGGGCCCATTTCGCTACCCTGGTATCCTGGGCACCATCATTAACGGCTATGCCATAATCTACATCACTATAATCATCTTCTTCAGTTTCTGGCCGTCCACCATGGACCCGACGATCGCGACCATGAACTGGAGCATCCTGGCTATCGGGAGTGCCATATTCTTCGCCATCCTATACTACATTTTCCATGCCCGCCATGTCTACACTGGGCCTATTGTGGAAGTTTCGCTGTAGAGAGGTCACCGCATGGCACGGTGGGAAGGGAAGAGTTGATGTTGTATTTTATATCACAATAGTATCTTTTCCCCTATATTCCAAGTCATGCTCATCCGACCAGCGTCATGCTAGTTAGTCGCCGCCATTGCTCGTACACATTACCCTTAACATGATCAAGTTCCCATTCTTCCTTGCGTATGATTTATTTGGTATTGTTACATTTTCTTCAATTTTTCTCATTCTCATTCTCGATTGTTATCTGCTCCCTCTAGATATACTGTAAATGTAGGCTCATTTATTTAAACACATATTTTAATATTGTCGTTGTTTATTATACAGTCAGTAAAATATAACCGAAGGCACATTCCTGTTAAAACTATTAAGAGTGTCAAACCATTAAACCATGTAAGTAAAGTATCCCCCTTTACAGTATTTTTAACCTTTCGCTTTCTTATTTACTTACTACTTTAGCAAGTTATTCTCGCTTCATTATAACTCTATCATCCTTCGTTGCGACCTATAATTTGCTGTAACAAAGTTAGAAAACCTTAAGAGTGATCTCTACCACTCTATTATTGGTTTTAACACATCATAGCAGCGTCCACTGCTGCGGTATGGCCTTAGAAGGCCTTCTTTATAACTATTAAGAAACATATACTTTAATTTTGCAGCAGAGGTTAAGTTGCCATTTTGCTAAAGGTAGGGAATGGTAAATTTAACGGTAACTAACAAATTGGTGGTGATCGACAAGTCGACAGTTATTAACAAATTAATAGTGGTTAACAAATTATCAGAACTATTAAACTAAGAGAAAAGTATAATGCTTAAATTGCATACTTTTTTAGGTTAGCATGAGTTAGTATATAAATTATAGCGCAAGTTGAGGGCGAATAGTAAATTATGCTAAAGAGGTATATAGTACGATCTTTAATCTTTAAGACAAGGTAAAATAATCTGTAATAAATGTTAATAAATGTTGAACATAGTAAGTAGAACTACAAATTATAAATTGGCTTGCTCTCAACTTATGCAACAAATTAGCGTACTATCATTGAAATATAAAACTCAACCATGCAAAAGGTAGAACGACTACATTATAGTAGCTCTTAGGTTGTTGGTATAGGCTAGCATATATATAACTTTTAACAATTGTGAAGCAACCCTTAGTTATAAAGCAACAATTATCAGGGTCCCTTAACAGGAAGCGGAGACAAAAGAGTGGGACGGACTGTTAAGCTAAGAACCCTTAGTGGAGTCAAAACTACGGCGCATCAACTGGAAAAAATATAGATTGGCAAAAAGAAGGGCCTAATCCGGGATTGAACCGGAGACCTCTTACAATTTGAATGCTGATGAGCTCCCAAAGCAAGAATTCTACCACTGAACTATCAGGCCTTTGATATGTTGGTGCAGGGATTAGTTTAGTACAAGATAGTACTAGTTATTGCTAGGTGCAACCCTAGTCTTCTTTATAATGGCCGTTAAATTATACAGCCAGATAAACTCGACTGCTGTAATAATACCTAGCTAGCTAAGTTGACATAAAAGATAGACGGATACTGTTGGAACCTGTGTAATTAAATTCGTCAAGCTAATCTAACTTGCAACCCAGTTGGCTAATAATACCTTCTCCATATATTTAGCTCCTAATGATATTATTCCAACTATCGAGGTTCAATGGACACCCATCCCAAAATGTATATCACAATCCCAACTTATATTATGTTCAAGCCCTGTTCGCTTCAAATTTTATAATACACTCCTAAGTTAATTAACCTAGACATTGTCATCATCTACTGGAAGCCTTTCATAGCTCCCAGCCGTATCCCCATTTCTCCCCCGTGGCCTTGTTGCCATCATCCGCCTGGGAGCCTCGTACATTGTCGTATAATTAACGACCTCACCATCTAGCATCGCCGAGCCATTCTCCCGGCTCCCAAATATCGGTGCTGGGTCGCACCAGAAATCCTTGCAGTTCTTTAGGCAACCCCTAGAGAACGGATTGCGGTTTGCCCTAGACCTATCCTTGTCCGCATTTAGAGCAGTCTCAACAAATGTATCAACACCCAGGATTTTCTTCCATTGGGCAAAGCAGCCTCCATGATCGTGGCGGTGACGATGGCCGTGCGATGATGCGGCCACTGCAGGATCAGGACCTCTGCCTTCGCTACCTAGCTGTGCTCCTCCCATTGATAAAGTCCCAGCAGCTAACGCTGTTGTAATCGCCTCAGAGGCGCCGTGCCCATGTCCATGATGAGAACCGCGCATGTTCTCATACGTCGTCATAGCTCGTGAGATTTGAATAAGTTGCACGAAGAGTAGCATTGTAACCCAGGTGAGTTGCAACGCCGCCCATACAGCAAGGACAAGGGTGTAAGGGTCGCTGTTAACGTAGCGGCATATTGATTCTGGGAGGATATTACACTCGGGGGACCCCTTCTCCGTCATGGAATCATAGTCTAAAGATGGTATTAGTCATTGTGAGGTGTCGGAATAGTCATGTGGGCCACTTACAGCCAACCGTGATAGCAATAAGAAGGCCTACACCGAGTTCCAAAAAGACAAGATAAAGGAAGAAGTGGCGATGGTTATTGACACCAACACAGTTATAAACCCAAGGGCAATGGCTTCCGCAGTTAGTAACGATTATATTTCAATGGCACCGAATCGACTCACTGATCGTGTTTTCCTACGCATCTGTTGCACCTCTTGCAATGTTTACTTCTGAGAGGCATCCGAACCATACATTGCACACAGAAATTTTGGTCATCAAATTTCCATAAGCTCAGCAGTTCGTTGATAGTAGCCTTCTGTTCCGTAAGACCCGCCAACTTCGGCACATATCCTGGCTCATAGAACATGGTGCAAAAATAGAAATAACCGCACAGAGAATATGCGATGGCGAAGAGGGTATTTACAACAGGATACGAGGCGTAGGTTGCTGCGACTGTTAGCACCCAGATTTTTAGACTTGAGTAAGCACGAACCAGGAAAAAGAGTTGTGACCCAGCTGATACCAACAAAAAACAGAGTACCAGCAAATATCCCCGAAAGCCACGGCTACACTGGGTTAGCTAAAGACCAGCCAAATTTCTCCTTGATATAGACTTACTGTTTTATGGATTTGTCTCATATCTGAAGGTGCATATGCCATAGCTTTTTGGGCCAATAACTGCAAACAATATCCAACAAGTAGGGCAATTGGAATTCCCGCATAAACAACCATATGGCTCATGATCATCAGCATGGACCAGATGATCAGAAAAGGCCAGAAAAAGAAAAATTTCGCCATGGCTGATCGTTTGTTTTGGATGAAGTACGGCGGGGTCGGGAAGTCAAAGGCAGCGAGGCTACCATCTTCCTTATAACCACATTCCTTGAGTGCTTTATGCCATGCAAATGTTGTTTTCATCTCCTCTGCCATTACTGATGGAGTTTTCCCGCTGGCGGCTGCAACGAACCTATCTGAGCCATATTCAATGAGCTTTTGGATGCAGCCCACTGACCCTTTAACAAGTCCCCAATGTAATGGTGTGAACCCCGTTTCGTCCGTGGCATGCACATCGGCGCCCCACCGAAGAAACAAGTCGACGCAAGCTGGATATCCTTTATACGCAGCCCACATCAGACATGTGTGTTGTTGTGAATCACGCACATCCACAGGGATGTTTTGGTGGAGTAGTAGAACCAGAAGGAAGATGTTTCCTTCAAAGGTTGCAAGGTGCAAGATATTATAACCTTGGACGTCAGTGAGCAATGGGTCGGCCCCATACTCCAGAAGGAGATGCACAGTATAATAATGGCACCTTTGGGCCGCCCACATGGCGGGTGTAGCGACCGACTCTCCGCCCTTCTTATTTACATCTGCTCCGGCCTCCAGGAGAAATTTACACATCGCATATTGATTGTTGATTGCCGCCCACTAGGAAATAGTTAGCCATCAAATCGTCAAAGGGCTAACAGTTTCCGGGAAGGGTTTCCGGGAAGGCATACATGGAGCGGAGTGATACCCTCATCATCACAGTGTAATGGTGTGAAAACGCCTGCATCATAGAGCTTCTGTACTGAGGGAATGTCTCCAAGTCTGGCCAGCTGCATTATATCTTGGCTCGCATCGAGGGCTGGCTCCGCGGCTGCGATATTCTTCATTTCTAGATTGCCATCGTCCACACTGAGCTGCGGAGCCACCGACGACCCCTTTCCGTTCAACATCAGGGGCGACAAATTCGAAGTATTCTTCGCCCGGTCTTCGACAGTTTGTAATGGTGCGTCAGGATGAGGCATTATGGTCCCTGTGGTGACATTTTAGCTTTTGGTTTCGAACAGAGGCAGGAGCAATGGAATCACGGATAGACAGGTTGGTACTGACATCGTATATATTATAATATTCCCCGACAGGCAGATGTTTGTTGAAAAAGAAGAAATGCGACAATCCGAAGCTGAGGCAGTGCCAAGTACGAGGCTGAGCTGTATGATGGCGGAACACTGGGACGCGTCCTTTCCACACCCAATGATAGCGGCTGGGCGAAGTAAGGTTAGGGGTTCCGGCTGCATTTTGGGGCGCTGGCTCGCCGGCGAAATGATGCACCGTTCCCACAAACAGTGGGTCATCTTACTTTCGACTTGAACTGAGCCTCGTTGTCGATCAAAGGAGAGGACAGGGAGTACTCAACTGAACACGAACATTCGAACAGTGCATGGGCGCCTGAGAAATACTTTGCTCACAACCAGAATAACTTCACAAGAGACAACGAACGAAGCGTCTTCAACTTCGGCCATTGCGTCGTCTATAAGCTGGCCTTTCCCCAGTGGCCATGTCCAAAATAACCCAATTAGCTGAGGCCTTGCTCAGTCCCTCCCCTCTTGGGTTTCTTTTCGCCCTTATCGTCGTTATATCTGTCCCTATACTTTTACATGCCTTCCTGAGCCGCGGCAGTAGTGTGGCTGCTCCGCCATCAATCTTACTTATTGGACCAAGCGGGTCTGGCAAGACATCACTTCAGACTCTGGTATGCTCAATACACCTGTCTCCAACTTTCCCACCACCGGCTTACAAGATAATAGTTCGAGCGAGGCAAGAGCGCCCCTACCCATACGTCGCAAACCCCACTTGTGGCGGAATGTGCCCTTCCTGTCGGAATTACTGCTGCCTCAGCAAAGTACCGTTCTGCCAACGATCCCTCACACCGAGTACGTGAGAAGTTTCTACTCATCGACACACCAGGGCACGGGAAGCTTCACCATTATGCATTTAGCGCCGTAGCGAATACGCAGAACCTGAAGGGCGTTATTTTCGTTGTCGATGCTGCCAATCTTCCAGCGGGTGATGAAGGCCTCAGACAAGCCGCCGAATATCTTCACGACACGCTATTACTGTTGCAAAAGCGCTTGACAAACATCAAGTCTTCCAAAGCCCCCAAAGGAATAGAGGTCTTGATTGCTGCAAACAAGATGGATCTGTTTACTGCGCAACCTTCTGCGATTGTTAGGAGCTTATTAGAGAAAGAGATCGGAAAAGTGAGAACCTCAAAATCCAAAGGTCTTCTGGAATCCGGTATCGAAACTGCAGGCGACCTGGATGATGTGGATAGTGACGACTGGCTGGGCGAAACCGGGAGCACCCAATTTAAATTTGAGCAACTGGAGGAGTTCAACATTTCTACCGAAGTTGCCGGTGGCTGTGCTATGGGAGAGAATGAAGCAGACGTCCAAAAATGGTGGAAGTGGGTAGGAGATCGTCTGTGAGCACGTGTACGAGCACGACAGCGAACAAGAACAGGAAGGAATCCCCGCTACATCATATGTTTTTGAGGTTGTCCACCAATTGGATTCAGTGGGGTTGTGGCCGAGGCGGATAAGTTAGATCCAACTGCAATGCCCACTCACTTCGGCCACAGGGTCGAGCATGAACTGCCATCTCCTTGAGTGAGAGATATCGGAGGGTGCCGCACGACGTCATGGCAGCCAAATAAGGTTATGGGACATGAATATATCGTGGATTATTAAATCGATAATGCTACAATGAACGATACCATACATATCTGGGAATATTTATAATATAATTACATTTAATACGTGAATTCAATGATCTAGAATAAGTGATAATAACATAAGCGTCCCGTTGAAGAATATCCCACCACGCTAAACCGTAACATTTTGTTCAGCCTTGTCATGCAATTGGTTTCCACAGCCTCGTAAGTTGGTAACCCCATCATCGCCGCCGCCTTGAAGTATTCATATACCGCCAGCTCTTAAAGACGGGTTAACATAGAAGGCGCTTAGATGAAGAATGCCCGTCGGAAGTGAATCTCGAAGTAACTAAAACATGTGGCAACTCTACACGAGATAGATTGGAATACGATATGCCACCATGGACGTCCGGACACTGAAGAACGAGCTGTTTCAACAAGTACCACCCCATCTCTCCTCAAGCATTATAGATATGGAAGCTGACCGTCGAAGCTCAAACCGTGTTGTATTAAACTAAGTCAGCGCGCACTTAACGGTGACGGCAGTGCAGCTAGCCTGAAAGAGCTTCTGGAAACAACCTTGGAGCTCTATGGCTTGCTTGAAGCAAAATGCCGCCGCAAGGATGCCGCCTTCGATGAGAAACTCGCAGACTACATATTCTTTCCCCTTTCGCATGTTCTGCGAGCGTGCCAGAAGCGACCAGGTCGTTTGGCGGAAGCGGCTACAAAATGCGTACAGGTATTGCTCCAATATGGCTGGACAAACAATATCGGTATCGAACTTGGGCAACAGCTCCTAATTCTGTTCACACTCTTTGCTGGCGGTGGCGCATCGTCGGATCCTATGCCAGAGGAGCTCAAGCTTGAGGCGTTTAAGGCACTTGCGCTATTATTCGACGACCTTCGTCGAACACCTAAAGGTGCAACTTCAATAGTTGAAGTATCTGTTATTCCCGCCCTTGGCCAATGTTTGTCAACGATACTGGACGGGATTACAGAAGGGCCATCTCCGGACATTCAAATCGAGGCACTTGAGGCATTAAAAGCCCTATGGATGTGCATAAAGGACCGAGATGCCCTTTCAACCTTCTTGCCAGGGACGGTCTCGGCATTAACAAAGTGCTTGATGCCAAACAATCAAAATCCGCGTTCTGTCAAGGTCCTCGTCAGCTCTTTACGCGTCCTTCAGAGCGTTCTCACCACTTCAATAGGAGATATTCACGTTAGGAGGCTACCTGATGACACCGACGTTGCTTCAGGTTCAAAGCCAACGACAACACTGGGTAAATCATGGCTGACTGCGACTTCCGCGCAGGTAAAGCTTGCTCTTACCAATATAGTCAAGCTACGCAGTCACAAGAGTGAAGGAGTACGTCATGAGCTTGAGCGAACATGTTTAATCCTGCTGGATGAATGCAACACGTCGTTAAAAGACGCCGCAGCTTTGCTTGTGGAAACATCTATGATTGTTGCAACTCCACAAGACGAAGGCGGTAAACCGTCACAGATTACCGGCTTGAAAGATCTCTCTATTATGTACCCATCGATCGGCGAACTAATCAATGCAACAGTATATAACTGGGAAACTAGCCTTCCGCGCATTGTTCAGTCGTCCGATGATGCAGTCAAAGCATCTGCCATCCACCAGCTTTCCCAAGCCAGGACTCTTCTCGGTGCTGTTGACGCTGAGTCTAAAGTTTTGGACAACTCTATAACAGAGTCTCTTAGAGATAGTGTTATAAACATGCTTGATTCTTCGACACCTGAGGTCGCTATCGAGGTGCTTCCTGTTAGCAATGACAGGGGTGCCACTTTGCCTTTGACGGTCCAAAACACATATACTGAGAACTACCCGCCTCTTATCCTGGAACATGAAAGCCAGGTGGAAACCCGAAATCAGCTCAATAAGCTGATTGACAATGTTGGGGCCCGGGAAGTCCAGCTTAAAATGACGAGCAAGTTACTCGAACAAATGTTCAACGCGTCCGGAAACCCTCTCCTGGCCTCATTTTGGCTATCCTTTCAGCTGGTAAAGTCGGTGGTCTTGAAAACTGAGGATTTCGACGATTTTCTCACTTCTGATGTCACTTCGTCAGACGAGCAAGAAGTTGCAAGGGAGGAGCTCTACAATTTTGCTGTTTCTATTCTCTCGGATTCAGAGAACAGCGGCAATGACTGGAGGCTTCTTGCGGTTGGCCTTGAAGTTGTTGCATATTCCTCACAGCAAGCAGGAGAGGGGTTTAGGGCAAATCTCGTCGATACCTTATATTCCGTTGTCCAGCTACTGGGTTCTGATAACCACCACCTCAGATCCCATGCTATTACTTCGCTCAATATAATCGCCAAATCCTGCGGTTACAATCAAACGAGCGAACTCATCGTTGACAACGTCGATTATCTTGTCAACGCCGTGTCCCTGAAACTCAACACTTTTAACATATCTCCACAAGTTCCACAAGTCTTAGTTATGATGATTCGACTAACTGGACCAACGTTATTGCCATACTTGGATGACGTGGTTGGCTCGATATTTGCAGCCTTAGACAACTTTCACGGCTATTCGAAACTGGTTGATAGCCTCTTTTCTGTACTTGGTGAAATCGTACAGGAGGGGGCAGGGTCGGGGCAGTTGCAGCTTACATCAGGGACGACAATAGACCATCAGAAACGGAAACCGGCGCCGCCGGATTTCAGCGATGTCCTCGAAATCCTTCGAAATATGAAATCCAAATCGTCTGCAATAGAAATGGAGCATGAACACTTTCCAAAGGGTCCCTGGAAGACTGCCAAAATGCTGTTAGATGAAGCAGAAGCTACAGGCGAGGAGGAAGAGGGCGAAGAACCCAAAGGGAACCAGGAGGTTAAAAAGGCCCCACCAACGAAAGTTTACACGATGGTTGAAAGCATCGCCCGCCTCTCCCAGCACTACCTTACAAGTGGCTCTCCCTACCTCCGTCTTCGACTACTCGATCTTATCAGCACTGCAACTGGTGCGCTTCACAATGACGAAGATGCCTTTTTACCCCTGGTAAACGACATTTGGCCTGTGGTTATCAAACGCCTTTACGACCCGGAACCATTCGTGGTAATCGGCGCTGCCAACGCCGTCAGCAAGATCTTCGAGGCATCTGGGGATTTTATGAGCACGCGGGTCCAGACCGAATGGCCTGACCTTATTAAACTAGTCCGGCAGTGGATGAAGAAGGCAGAGGGGGAAAGGAAAGGGAAGCATGGCAGAGGCACGCATGCTTTGAGTTGGCAAGTTTGGGATGCTATGGTGGGACTGGTCGTTGCTATTTTGAAATATGTCCGCATTAATGATGGTATGTTTGATGAGGCTTTGGGCGTTCTGTCTGGCCGTCTGGAGAGAGAAGATGTCAGAGAAGCCCTGGAGACTATCAATGCGGAAGCAGTGTGGCTAGTTGATCTTGCACAAGACCGTATTACAAGGAGAGAAGTTCCTGTAATGGAGGGGTACGAATTTGCCAGCTGGGAAACATTATAGACTGTATGGCTTCAGAATAAGACGGCCTTAGCCGGCTGCTAAGAATATAACGAATTAAATCACTCTGCCTGCACAGTCACATTGATTATATATTCATAGATAGAGAATAGCTTCATTGAGGTAATCAAAAATATTAATTCGTAATCATCGGCGCAAAGGTAATGCACCCCTAGAGCTGCTAACTTTTACAAGCGGAAAAAGAGTATTGAGTAGAGAGCAGATAATTAGACAACGGTGAAAACAAAACCCGAAGCACAAAACGGTCCAACCAAGCAAATATGTGCGACCATTTGATACGAGACAAATCCACACAGCCATCCCATTAACAAGTTAACGGTTGAGCGTGGTGGTCCTCGCCATTTGGCTTTGTAGCGATTGTTTATTCCGAGTCGTCATCATCATCCTCTGACTCAGCCTCAGCAAGCCAAGTCAAGAACGTCTCTGCGGACTTGCGGACCTTCTTGCTGGTCGGAAGGTCGATGTACTTCTTGCTGGCCCTGGTGCCCCATTTGGTGACAACCTCCTCGCTGACAAGATCGTCATTGTAGTAAAGCATGAGAACCTTCGAGACTAGGTTGTAGACTTCTGGGTTCTCCTTGCCGCGCATGCCGATGAAGCGCTCGGTGCCTCCGAGGAGGGCCTTCTCGTGGCGTTCAGAGGTGATCAACTACGCCAGTTAGTGGATATTCATATAATTGCAATCAGGAGTATAGTCCATACCTTTTTCAGCAGTCCAGCCCTCTTGGGGATCTGGGCAACAATGTTGTCATCGAACAAGGTCTGAGCAAGTACAAGTAGCGTACGGTGCTTTGTCTCAATGCCCAGCTCTTTAGCCTTGACATAAATATCAACATCATCAACCTTTGCAACGCTGCCCTTCTCCTCGACCTCAGCCAAGATCCAGCTACCGAGCTGATCATAGGCCGAGTTGCCGCCGCCCTCACCATCCTCGTCCTCGTCGTTATCAAGGACAAGCTTCTGCTTCAGATCCTCTGGCAGCTGTTGCTGACGAGCTCTAACAGCCTCCGCAGACATGTCAACTGTCCACGTATCGTCTCTGATTTCCTCTGGCTCTTCGATATCCAAAGCGCCGTTCTTGATGCGATTGGTAAGCTCGTCGTCGCTTCCTGCCTCAGGGGCGCCGTCATCATTGACTCCATTCTCAGAGTTACTGTCGTTGGGGCTGCTGTTTTTCTCGCCATCGGCGGCGACCCCGTTGCCGTTCTCCTTGGCCCTGCGGGCAGCCTTGCGCTCGGCCTTGTCCTTCTTGCCCTTCTTGGGCGCATTCTTCAAGATGAAGCCGCTCAATTTCAGGCGGAGATCGACATCTGAACGCTGACCACAAGCCTTGCAGTCAAGAACGATATTTCCATCCTTCAAGACGACTTCGGTCTCGGGATTCTTGCACTTCTTGCAAAGCACAAACTTTGAAATAAACCCATCAAGGTAATCCTGTAGCTTTCCAGCTTCGTGGGCGCCGTTGATAATCCAGCGGTCGTCGGCAGGGTTGCTGTTTGTCTGGGCTCCAAGTTCGAAACCAAAGTATTTGATGACATAGGCACCGGGGCGAGCGAGAGACTGGGCAACGCTGCTCAGGTTGACAATGACAGTCTTGATGCCATTTCCTTTTCCTTCGATCTTAGACTGGATCTTCTCCATCTTGTATCGGTAGAAGGGGTCGCTGACATCGCGACGAATGTTGACGGTAGCCATGATTGCGGTTGAAGTTTTCTAATGCAAGCTTTCGGGGGCGGTTTTTCTATTGGTAGCGGCGACTGAAGACGTTGACTGGCGATACATATAGAGGCAGGCCGGCTCGTTTTGGAAGGTTCAAAGCAACAGCTAGATTGATGGTTTAAAGATGATTCGTCTCACGGTAACATGTGTTGTGTCGATATTGTGAGATGCCGAAGAAGATGTCGGTTTATCCGTTAGAGCAGAAGTAAGGGCTACAAGGTTTCCGAGGTATACGGAATGGTTGCAGCTCGAGGGGCGGCTGATGTCTGAGGTCGTTGGCGTGTTGTGTGAGATACATATAACGCAGTTGTGCCACTAGACGTGCTGTCTTATGGTTTGGGTGATTCGGTGGTAGAGGATGCCCTCTTTTATGACAGGTCCCGGCCTTGGGGGAGAGTCGTAGAAGCGTTCGATAATATCAGACGGAAGAAGCTGGATGAAGGGCTTCAGCGGGTTTCCGGGGGGTCGCGGATGGACGGAGAGGCCAGATAGACTCGTGTCTGTCTGTTTTTTTTTGGGGGGGTTGAATGGCAGATGGGTCGAGAAGAGACTCCTTGATGGTAGGACTGTCGTGAGATTTGATGAAGCCTGAAGAAGGATTCTGGTGTGGTGGGTGGGGGAAAGGAGAAATTCTTTGTGTGTTGATGTTTAGTTTGAAGGGGTGGGTCAGGGAATTGGAAAGAATTATTCAGTGGAGAAGGGAATTGTATTTTGTATGTAGAGAGTAGTTTTTTTGCCTGAGGTGGCACTAAGGCGCTAGATTTCTGTAGTGTTTGTTAGTAGAAGTAGTGGTGGTTACGAGTTTGCAGGACCGAGTAAGAGGATAGAAGTATACTGCAACTAAGAGTACAAAATAAGAGTATGGCAGATTGGTGTAGTTTGCTTGTATCTTTAGCAGATGAGAACTTAAGAGCGGAGAGTTTTGGAGTTGGGACCGCGGTAAAAAATTAGGGTGTGGGTGAGTTAGGTGGCGTGGTTGGATGGTTGGTGGTTATGGCTGTGCGGTGGTACTTTACTTGTGGCGCAGTTTACAGTGTGGGAGTTTGTACTCTGGACATAGTTGCTTGATTGCTGCATGAACTGTACTTTGTAGGTACTTTACACTAGATTTTTGCTGGGCACGTGTTACCAGTATAACGCGTAGGATCTATTTTGTAGAGTATTACACTATAACACTATAGAGAATATCTATGATAAATTATATAATTACTATACGCGTCCGTACATGACCAGAAGCTTATTAACGCGCTCCAATCGAAGCCGGACATATTTCTGTAGATTTCCATGTTGCGATGGTTACAAATTGAGACAATACTATATATATCACGTGACTATAACTGCCCCGCGACCCTTCATCCCCGATATATCCCCGAAATCCCCCACCATCCAAAACGCTACGAGTGCCCGATTGGTCTTCAACAGCTGCAAAGTCCGAGTCCATACCAAAAAAAAGTCATGATGGCCAAATCAGTAGACTACTCTCTGTACCTGGTCACTGACTCCACCCCCGCCATCCTTGGGGGTGCTAGTCTCGTCGATGTCGTGGAAGCTGCTCTGGAGGGCGGCGTGACTATCGTCCAATATCGGGACAAGTCCACTGAGACTGGTGTTATGGTCGACACTGCCAGGCGACTCCATGCTGTAACGAAGAAATACAACGTCCCTCTTCTCATTAACGACCGTGTTGATGTGGCACTCGCAGTGGGCTGCGAAGGCGTCCACATCGGCCAAGACGACATAGGTAAGGCCATTCTTTATATAAAACCCGGTCTCTAGCTAAATACCACGTAGATATCAAAACTGCCAGGCGCCTCCTTGGAGAATCGGCCATCATTGGCCTCACAGTAGCATCGGTTGAGCAAGCACTGCAGGGCTGCGATGATGGGGCTGACTATCTCGGTATTGGCACGATATTTGCTACCCCAACGTAATATTCTACCATTCTCATTTTGTATTCACTTTTGTCTGACAATCCCCAAGGAAGACAAACACTAAGGACATAATTGGGACTGCTGGCTGTCAAGCAATCCTGAAGGCAATGGCCCCAAAGTATAGCAACGTGGGGACGGTGTGCATTGGCGGCATCAATGCCACCAACCTCCAACGCGTCTTATATCAGTCAAGTGACAATAGCAAGAGGCTCGATGGCATTGCCCTTGTCAGTGCAATAATAGGCGCGAAGGACCCCAAAGAGGCAGCAAAGAATCTAAAGCACCTTGTCAACACCCCACCTGCATTTGCAGCTGTCTCTCCATCAGGCTATTCTGGTGTTGAGGACGTTGCCGGAATGCTGGAGGCAGTCCCTTCTGTTATAACATCCGTCAACGAGACCAACCCTCTATGTCACAACATGACAAATCTTGTGGTGCAGAATTTCGCTGCCAGTGTTGCGTTGGCAATTGGGGGATCCCCAATTATGTCAAACCACGGCGATGAGGCGGCAGACCTCGCCAAATTAGGAGGCGCTTTGGTTATAAACATGGGCACGGTAACACAGGAAGGCCTGAGGAACCACTTGCTTGCCTTACGGGCATATAACTCGCAAGGAGGCCCTGTTGTTCTGGACCCGGTGGGAGCGGCAGCAACAACTGTCCGGAAATCTGCCTTGAAAACTCTCATGGCCGGTGGTTATTTTGATCTAATCAAGGGTAATGAAGGTGAAATACGACAGGCATATGGAAAAGGCGACGTCCAGCAGCGAGGTGTGGACAGTGGAGCAAGCATGCTCGACGGCCAGAGCAGGGCAGCTCTAGTCCGAGACCTCGCTGAGCGAGAGCGGAATATCGTTCTGATGACTGGCTCTACAGACTATGTGAGCGATGGGCGGAGAACGATTGCGATTAAGAACGGGCACGAGTATCTTGGTCGGATAACTGGTAGTGGATGTGTCCTTGGAACTACCATATCTGCAATGCTCGCTGTCCACCGGCATGATAAGCTTATCGCAGCCGTAGCTGGGCTGCTGCTTTTTGAGATTGCCGCCGAGTATGCTGCGCAACGCCCGGATGTCAAGGGCCCTGGGACATTCGTGCCAGCATTGATTGACGAGCTGGATAGAATTCGGCAGAGCAATGCCGATGGAGACTTCAGCTGGTTGAGCCGTGCAGACATCAGCCTGGTTAGTTTTGAGTAAATACAAAATACTAGAAAATATTAAGCAAAGCAACTATATATTTATAGCAAAAAACAAAAAATACCATGTTTTATTTGCACCCGAAAGTGATTCCGGAATGATGGCATGTGGAGTGGTTCGCTAAGAACCGGATGCGGGGTAACGTAATGTCCCCCGCATCGGCTGTCTGGATGCTCGGCTTTGGCCCCTCCATTAATCGGGGATCTGGACCCGCAGGCAACGTTCCGCTGTGCACATATAAGGCACGCCTGAGCCTGGAATTCCCCCAATAGAACTCACCGAATAAGCACAAATAGAATACCGATCTGCCACCAACACCCAAGTTGTCGGGAATCCATATATCCAAAGCCATGGCACAAACTCTTACGCGACGCCTTGGTAAGTCACCCTCCACCGTCCCGCGAAAGCAATTGAGTTTCCTAACAACCCGATAGCCAGGCCAGCAATCTTGTGAGCCATTCCTCCTATAGCACCGGAATTGCCCTCACTGGGCTTCAATGCCGTCGCCGTCAGCAGACCCCGTCGTTTCGCCGATCTAACAGGCCATAGCATCTGCGACATCCAAGAGAAGTTCCGCCCAGCAGTATGGGAATACGACAAGATGTAACCCTCCCCCATCCCACACCACCCAACCGCCACATATTAACTTCCCCCCCAGAATCCTCACCACCCAAAAGCTCCTCCGCGCCGCCTCCATCCTCTCCATCCCCGTCTACGCCACCACCCAAAACGCCGCGCGCCTCGGCCCAACCTGCCCCGAACTCAACCTCTCCACCGCCGTCGCAGAAGTCGACAAGACCGCCTTCAGTATGTGGCCCGCCCTAGGCCACCACTTCTCCTCCAGTACCCCCTCCGAGATCGTCATCGTCGGCATCGAGAGCCACATCTGTGTCACGCAGACGACGATAGATGCGCTTGCGGCAGGACATAAGGTGTATATCATCGCGGATGGAGTGAGTAGCTGTAATCCACAGGAGATTCCGATTGCGTTGGCGAGATTGAGACAGGCGGGTGCGGTGGTAACGACTAGTGAGAGCTGGTTGTATGAGTGTATGGGAGACGCCGGGATTGCTGAGTGAGTTTCCCGTGATGTGTTGTTGGAGGGGGTGAAACTGACGTTTTTGGTAGATTTAAGCAGATTGCTGGTGTAGTGAAGGATACTAGCAAGGATACGAAGAGAGTGATGGAGGCATTGTTGAGCAAGATTTAAATGGGCAGGACTATGGTCTGTAACATTACGAGGGGTTTCTATGCGCATGGTCTAGAACTTGAGTTTTGAGGGGTGTTGGAGCTGATAGATGGCGGACCAATCCGAACTAGACGGTAGTTTACTATGACAGTTGATAGTTTAGAAGCAAGAAATGTGCAACACATTCTGACTATGAGGTGATTGCGTGCGAATTAAAACATTTATTATTAGGTTGGCAGTGTAGACAAAAGGCTCACGACTCTCAAGGAAGTTCAGTAGTAAGATGTCATGGCATTAATAGTATTCTGATTCATCTACTAGGGCATCGTAAGATTATCCCCTTACATCCAGCCCTCCGGGTATTGCTAGATATATCGGTATCAAATCACCCAGATCTACCTACTCAGTCGTCGTAAGATCTGCCTTCGTATTTGAAGCCTTCATCCAGCCAAACGCTGAAGCACCACCGATCGGGTTTGAGGGCCGACGAGCACCGGTAACAGGCCACGCCTCCTTGTGGGCCTTTTCCTCAGCTGCCGTTTTTTTAGATTCCCAGCGCGAGGACGCATTGCTATCGGTAAGACTAGCCTGGCTCTTGCGTCTGGACGGATCGTCTTCCAACGGACTGCTCGGCGGGGGCTCATAGACATGACGTGCTCCAGAAGTAGAACGGCCGTTCTGAAGCCCCTTTGATGGCTTCAGCACCTTCATGCTTCTGTTGCCGCGGCCGGGTTTGTTGTAGCCACTTGCGGATACAGTCTCTTTTTGCAGCTCGCCATCACTCTTTGGTAGCCCACCATTTCGCCAGGAGCCCCATTTAGCCCCAACGTCTTCTCGGGTTTCACTTTCCTTGTTCGTTGCTAACTTGGCATCTTGCTTGCTGTTAGTTAGGCCTTCGGCATGGGTGCCACCTGCAGTCGGCTTAGATTCGGCCGTCTCAGGGTTATTGTCAGCGGACGCAGGTTCTAGGCTTGGATGAAACCCATTTCGCAGATCCGATACGTGTTTTCCGTCCTCATACTCATGGCGCGGGGGTCTCGGGGACAATGGTATCACATTTGGATCACCAGACTGCAAAGTCTCGCTCGGTGCTTCATTCCCTCCTTCGTTCTCATCGCGCCCAGATGAGAGTGCAGGTTTGCTTGGTTTACCAGCAGGGGTGAACGGAAGAGCGGCTCCCTTAAGCTCGACGGCCTCGGGCGGATTGTTCATAGTGCAGATGTTTTTGAAGACATTGTCATCCTCTGGTCGTACAAATGGTACTGAGAGTTTCTCACGGCTATCTCCGTAGAGTGTCATGGTATTCTGGGAGAGGAGAAGGTCAGCACTATGTGCCCTCAAGGTATCACTCCCAATGAAAATGTGTATGGCTTTTGGTCGCCGTGATGTGGAACGCTGGTGAATGCCGGTAACCTCAAAGTTGACTGTCAACGCAGGCAGTTGTGGAGCAGGGCTATTGGCTCGAGATGAAGACTGTGTTATAACAGCCTCGGGAAGGTAAACGGGTAGGGTGATGATAGGGAGTCCTTTGGAGTTTTGTTGGATGCGGTCCACATAACCAAGCTTTTTAACGAGGGTATACTCCAATGTTGATTTATGAGAACCGGTGCATACATCGGCATAGAGTAAGGTGTCATGAGAGAAAGTTTCGTTCAGCCAGCATCGTATAATGCAAGGGACGTTGCCCAGTATGAAGAGACCTGGAGGCGGCTCTGGGATCTCTAAAGGCGATGGGTCATCTTGGCCTCCAATCACAAAGTTAGTATCAAGACCGAGGCTGCTAGTACGGCCTGATGGCGCCGAGTACATGGAACGAACGGAATGGCCTGCGGAGCTATGTCTTCCATCCGACTTATGCGAGAGTGTCCTCTCCATAGGATGACTACCAAAGCCACTATTTGGGCGAGTAGGGCCGAAGTCGCCTGATGTGCGAGATGATTGAGCCCAGCTTGATCCTTGGGTGGCACTGACATCAAAACGTACGCTGTTCGCCCGTGATGCGCCGCGCCGCACTGGCTCTTCTTCCGCATCCAGACGCAGGCTTCCCAGCAATGATTGCCCATGTTCGTCATCGAAGTCATCAAAAACCTGAGACTGAGATGAATGTACCGGACCTGATAGTTTCGGATCAGTATGGAAGTGGGATATAGGGCTGTGATATCTACCTTGCTGGGGAGTGCCTAGTACACCTGGAAATGGAGGGTTCCAGACAGACTTGAGCGCCGCATCATCTGCCTGTCTTCTCTCGAGTCGGAGTATGCGATCTGCGTGGTTGATCTGAACCGCATGAACATGCTTTACATCCATTTCCAAATGGTATAGGCTTTCCTTTGTCGGCGAGAAATGCCCGTCCATTCCTATAGCGTAATATTTAACGCAAGAGCAGTGTATTTCGTACAACTTCCAGTTCTAAGCATGAATGGTCTACCATGGACCTTAAAGACCCAGTCACTCTGACCCAGGCCCGGCGGTCTCTTGTGCTCCCTTTCTTTCGCCCCAGCTCATGGGTAGGATATAACCGATCGCCACCGGCGGCCTGCAGGTTCGGTGATATTAAATTATTCGTCGATCAGCAAGGCAAGTGTGTCCAGTGGCGCCAGTTCGCGCGCAAGTCACAATATGAACGATGAAGGTTGGTCGATGTGGTCTGTAGTTGTTCGATGGTCACTCTCTACTTCGATACTTCGAGTGTATAACAGGCGGCCAACGCCAGAAGTTCGTGCACGCGGAGGTGGAAAGGAAGGTTGATCTAGAGCTCAAGCTGTACCAGGCAGTGGAGAGTTTGTCTGAAGTCGTCGGGATTGGATTGGGGTAGGAAACAGAGTCGCGGAAATGTAGAGGTCGTGGTGGCTGGTATATATTGCGATAGGGTGAGTGAATGAAGTTGTATTCGAGGTTCTACTGAACTGAGACTTGGAGTGTGTTGATCTGGAAGAAGGAAGATGAAATATAGGATTCGTACGACTAGAGTCTATGGGGTGTGAAACTCTAAAGGTGTAGATGTGCGAGTGGGAGTTTGAGTCTCTTGTTCTCCAAAACAGTCTTGTATGGGGGTAGATGCTGTGGATGTGGTTGTATGTAGTACCATCAATGGTCTCTCCCCTTATCTTGTCTAATGTCAAATGTTATCGGTAAATAACGGTCAGCCACAGTGGTAGCACTATAAACGGTCTCAGAGCCAGATGCACATGGGTACGACCAAGGTAAGACAGCTTACTTTCCATGGTTATCTCACACAACAGGTGCTTTCCTCCTTCATAGCTCTATCACTATTATATACCCCGATATTATAGCCACGAAGCTTTATTGTAGCTACAGAACTCTCCATACTCGTGGTCAAGGACACACGCGGAACATATTTGACATCGACTCCGCAAGCCGTCAGCAACGCCCCGTCCCGCACAGGCGTATGGCTAGCTCATTTGTATAGCTCCATCACAAGGCTACCGATCACTTTCCAGGAGACTTTCTTCCCCGCTGGACTGGCTGGCATGCAGTGAAGTGTTCGCCATACCGCCATTTACCAGAACTATCGATGAAAGCACCTCCTGATCATGCTTGAGCTTCTTCCACGACTTCTATCTCGCGTTTACTAGGCCGTCTCTCCTCGAGGGAGCCTTGATTTCCCGAAACATGAAGGGCGACGATCCAAGCCCGGTCGACACATCGACGCCTCCGTCACCGACAAGTGTGAGGCACTTTCCGACTACAAAACGCTATAGGTCTCTACTATTGCCTTCTAGCAGTGATCTTGCCGCTGCTAGAAGCGACGCAGAACAGAGAGATGACGAACACACACCGCTCCTCAGAGGGGCAATGAGCACGAGTCACATGCGTATAGCAGATGGGGGTTCTACTCCAAAGCCGCGCCTTTCGAGACACCACAGTGGAACAGGTACGTTAACGTCCCATCTGCCCCTTTATTTCTTCGAGTGATCCGAGCACTCTTCGTGGTTCAGCGCAGCTAACGGGGTTTCACAGGCAGCCTCCGTCACCATAGTCGAAGCAACTCTTGGGGCCAACGCCTTTCCCAGGCACTCAATACCGACCGAAGTACCTCCAAAGCCTTTGACAACGATCTCAGAAGCTCAGTAACCCTAGATGACCGAGTCTGGTACGATCAGTTTACATCTACCGATTGGGTCCACGACAATATCGCAGACGCATACCGGGTCAAGGCACTCCGTGCAAGGAGAGATTTTGCAGGACGGGTATGGGCATTCCTTGACGGCTCGCAGGGCTGGATTCTGAGCGCCTTGGTCGGGTGTACAACTGCTCTAGTAGCATATATTGTTGATATTTCCGAGGCCCCTACCTTTGACTTCAAGGAGGGATACTGTTCGGACGGATGGTACCTAAGTGAGAAGGTAAGTTCGGGGAGGAGTAATTGCTGTCATATCGGTACTAACACTCTTCAAGAAATGCTGCCCTGATGGGGACCGATGTGCTGCCTGGCGAACTTGGTCCGAAGTCATAGAAGTACCCGGGGTCAATGGGGAATTGACCGAGTTCGTCATTTATGTTCTTCTGATGATCGTCTTAGCGTCCTTATCATGTCTCGTTACTCTTTCAACGAAGACAGTTGTGCCTTCAACCTACCGAATCTCAACATTTGACGAAAATCTGGCTGCAGTTCCTCAAAGAGAAAATGAGGAGGGTGGAAGCCCAAAACAAACCAAGGCTGCTGAATACAACTCGTCTTCTATGATCTATTATCCAGCCGCTGGAAGTGGTGTTGCAGAGGTCAAGGTGATTCTCAGCGGCTTCGTTCTGCATGGTTTCCTTGGTCTTAAAACTCTCATAACCAAGACATGCGCTCTTATTCTCAGTGTGGCATCCGGGCTGAGCCTGGGAAAAGAGGGGCCATTCGTTCATATAGCTGCATGCATAGGGAACATTTCTTGCCGCTTGTTTAACAAGTATGATTACAACGATGGGAAAAGGCGAGAGATCCTGTCTGCGGCTGCGGCTTCTGGTGTTGCCGTTGCATTCGGAGCGCCAATTGGTGGCGTGCTGTTCAGTCTAGAGGAAGCTTCGTATTTCTTCCCGGCGAAAACGTTGTTCAGGACTTTCTTCTGCTGTATTACGGCGGCGTTGTCTCTGAAGTTTTTGAATCCCTATGGAACTGGCAAGATTGTCATATTCGAGGTGAGATATCTGACAGATTGGGAGTTGTTCGAAATGATACCCTTTCTAGCAGTTGCGGTGGTTGGTGGCGCCGCAGGTGCTCTGTTCATCAAAGCGTCATATATCTGGGCGCGCTCCTTCCGCAAGATAACTCTGGTCAAAGACTATCCGCTGCTAGAGGTGGTCCTCGTGGCTCTTGTAACCGGAATGATAAGCTATTGGAATATTTTTACAAAGACTCCTGTGGCGAAGTTATTGTTTAACCTTGCCAGTCCATGCAGCCCAGACGACTTGGATTCAATGGGTCTGTGCCCGGAAAGCATAGGAGATATCGACTCCATTTTGAAGCAACTATCAATAGCCTTCGTCATCAAGAGCTTTCTAACGATTATTACATTCGGCATTGTACGGCCTCCGCCTCCCAGACGAGTTTGAGGGGTACGCTAACAAGTTAAACAGAAAGTTCCCGCTGGTATCTATGTTCCTAGCATGGTTGTAGGCGGCCTCCTTGGAAGGATAGCTGGGCACTTTGTGCAGCGACTAGTGCTTCAGTTTCCGCATGCTGCGATTTTCGAACAGTGCGCATCTCATCCAAACGGCACCTCGTGTATCACACCAGGTGTATACGCGTTGATAGGGGCCGGTGCCACTATGTGTGGCGTTACTCGCCTTTCCGTTACGCTTGCCGTCATTCTTTTCGAGCTCACTGGCAGCCTTGATTATGTTCTACCATTCTCACTGTCGATTCTTGTTGCCAAGTGGACCGCCGATGCGATCGAGCGCCTGAGCATCTATGTAAGCTTTAACCCCAGTCTTTTGAAGATACATCTGCTCATAACATCAGGACCTCCTCACAAATATGAATTCATATCCGTTTCTTAATAACAAGACAAAGCCTGTCTTCACATCTGATCTCGCTGACATCACCCCTCGTGTGCGAAGGGAGAGGGTTATTGACATCTCCTCATCGCCTCTTGTGTCCGCCAAGTCCTTACGAGATAAAATACGGATACTTCATGAGGCTGGAGAGCTTGATGGAGGGCTTCCGATTCTTAGGCAAGACGTTCTAGTTGGGCTGATCCCAGCGCCGGATCTCGAATTCGCCCTGGACAGCCTACCAGACGAAGAGAATGACTTATGTCTGATGGTAGCTGTGAAATCTTTCGATGACGACGACGATGAAACAGCTGATCCGACAGATTTCACTTCATATATTGATCCGGTAGGCACCCCGAATATTAGCGGCCCTTGTTCCAATGCTGACTTTAAAAGGCTCCTGTGGCACTCGACATTCGTTCCGAGATGGATTTGGTATATGAGTGTTTTGTCAAGCTTGGACTTCGATATATTTGCGTTTTACGTGATGGTCGTTACGCAGGAATGGTAAGCCACCTTGTTTGCTTGGTATCCACCAGTTAGCTAACTATCTCAGCTACACCGCAAGGTGTTTGTAAAGTACGTCAGAGAATTAGAAGAGAGTGGCCACTGAACATGTGCCATGCTGCTCTCGGTTTATTGTTGCATCGCATTGGGCCTGCTTCATCCGCATATCATAGGGCGTAATTGGGGTATATAATATTATAAATTGCGCATTGGTGCGCCACGAGATGTCAGCTGGTATTTTTGCTTCTGCTTATGTGCATGTTGAAATAATATTCTTCAAGATATAATAGATGCCTCAATAACCCGCTGTTTGGGTATTATTTTGTTCCTCTAAATATTATATATTTTTCATATTTCAAATTAATGACACAAACGTATAGTCAAACACTGTTATTATACATGTCCCCAAACCACACGCCTTTCAAAAGTACACAGCCACATGGCGCTCGTCCACGAAGCTATTCCCATCGATCCACCACTCCAGACCAGGTTAGGGGCTGGCCGCGAATACATCATGTCCTGTACCCCTCCCTAGCAAACACCAAAGTTGCATTCGTGCCGCCAAACCCAAACGAGTTCGAGATCGCAACATCAACCGACCTATCCTGCGCATGGAGCGGAACATAATTAAACCCCCTATCCGGATCTGGCCGATGCAAATTCAGCGTCGGCGGCACAACTCCCTCCTTAATAGCCAGCACCGCAAATATCGCCTCCACCGCCCCCGCAGCACCCAAAAGATGCCCTATAGCCCCCTTCGTACTACTCACCGTCACATCCCCCTCCTTCTCCACACCCTCCTCCCCAAGCATCAACGTCCCAATCGCCGCCGCCTCCGCAGCATCCCCAATCACCGTCGACGTCGCATGCGCATTCACATACCCCACCTCCCTCGGCCTCACCCCCGCCGCCCTCAGCGCGCGCCTCATCGCCAGCAGAGCTCCCGCCCCATCCTCCCTCGGCGCAGTCATATGGTACGCATCAGCACTCGACCCATATCCCAAGACCTCAGCATATATCTGCGCGCCCCTCGCCCTCGCATGTTCGAGTTCCTCCAACACCATCACGCCCGCGCCCTCACCCATCACGAAGCCGTCGCGTCCGCTGTCGAAGGGTCGGCTTGCGGTGGAGGGAGTGGAGTTGTAGGTGCTGGAGAGGGAGCGGGAGCGCGCGAAGCCCGCGAGGGCGAGGGGGTGGATGCAGGATTCGGAACCGCCGGCTACCATGACGGTGGCGTCGCCGAAGGCGATGAAGCGCGCGGCGTCGCCGATGGAGTGCGCGCCTGTGGTGCAGGCGGTGGAGACGGAGTGGTTGGGGCCGAGGAAGGAGTGGCGCATGGAGATGTGGCCGGCGGCGAGGTTGATGAGGAGTTTGGGGACGAAGAGGGGAGATACTTTTTTGTAGCCCTGGGGAGTGTGGGTTAGTTTTGATGCTGCTGTATGAATATGAAGAGGGTAAGAGGAGGAGAGGTTGAACTGACCCCTTTGTGGTAGGTGATGGAAGTGTCGTATATCTCTTCGAAGTTACCAATCCCACTCCCTAGACAGACACCCGTATCCTGAGCTCCAATACTCCCAGGCTTAGGATTCCACCCTGCATCAGCGAGGGCCATATCCGAAGCCGCGATGGCGTACTGAGTGTACTTCGCCATCCGCCGCTGGTCCGCTCCAGAGACCCATTCGTCCGCGTTCCAGAGCAGGTCTTTCAAAGGCGCTTTACCCTCGGAGGTCTCATCTTTCGGCACAGGCTCTGTGAAACTCTGTCTGGACTCCGTGGGCACAAGCCCCGCGACCCTGCTCGGGATAGCCTTGTATTCCTCAGAGTCGGGCGTGGCAACAAGTCCGCTCTTCCCAGCAATTATTCCTCGCCATGTCCGCGATATGGAAGCGCCGAGTGGCGTTACGGCGCCAAGGCCGGTGATTACAACGCGGCGCATCGGATGATCATCGAATTCTTGCACTGAGGCTCACTCGTTCTGCGAGCGGAAGCCTACACAGCGCGGTGGTTGATATCACTTTGGGGTTTTCGTGGATGACATAAATTGGAGGCGAGGCTGAGATGCAAGGCTCGGCACTAGCCGCCACCGGCAATGGGTGGAAACCGTCACAATAATCAGGGTATGGTAAATGAAAGATATAATTCATGAGCATACCGCTCTACTATCATAGTTATGCTCAAAGATATACCCAGTCGTGAATCGTGACTACGAAATTTCCACCCCATTTTCGTTAAAAACTCCGTCGCCATGTGCGTGAGCAAACGCCCCGCGTTCTATCTATCGCCGCTGCTTTTCATTTCATTCCACATCCTGTCCACGATCTGAAAGACCTGCGTGACTCCCTGCATCTTTGCCTCATCGACGCCATGTCCACCCAGTTTTTGCTGAATCTTATCCGGATGCCATCTAACTCTCTCCAACTTTAGCGTCTTCACTAAATCCGCCTGGTCCGGTTTCCCCGCCGTGGGCCCATTCAAGAAAAACGATTCCACCTCATCCTTCCCCAAATCCTCCACCTTCCCACTCCAAACCGGCCACGGAATCTCCGAATCGCCGCTGGTACTCGCCCGAAACGCCTCCCATAACTCCTGATACGCAGTCCATTTCTGACTCCACTTCTGCGTCCACCCAGCCTTATCCTTCCTCTCCTTCCCCCTCGCCAAACTCTCCTCGACCTGCCTCTGGAACGCCTCCTCCGCCGCCCTAGCCTGGTCCCTCTTCGCCTGCTCCTTCTTAGCCTTATCCCTCCTCTCCTTCTCCTCAATCAAATGCTGATGCGTCTTCTTGTACATCTCCGCACGTATATGAGCCGCATACTCATCATCCGTCATCGCCTCCAGCTTCCCCGTCTCAACATCCATCTTCACCGGATCGATCTTCGGAATCGGCTGTCCATACACCCCCTCCCAGAACTGCGCCCCCTCATCATCGGCCATGGCATCGAAAAGACTCTCGCGGAACAGCGCATCGGGATCAAGGTATTCCCCAGACGAGGTATTGGGGAGTTGCGACTCATCGCGCAGGCTCGGCTCGTCCGGAGGCTCGGATCGCTGACGCTTTGAGCGATGGGTACTCTGGAGATGTCTGTGTCTATCTCTATCATGGCCGCGATGATCCGGTTTCCTCTTCGCGGATTTGAATCTAAATCTCGACCGCTGCGTCTTGCCCAGCTCGTCTTCATTCTCCTTGCCCTTCTCCTCGGCACCATCGCGAGTCTCAGACCTACCCCGCCTGTCGCCGTCGTCGACATCCATAGGCTCCATGCTTGTGTCGCGGCTGGCTTGCAGCTCGCCCGTGATTGTTTAGTTGGTGCTCGTACTGCACATCATCGCAAGGACTGCCGATAATGATTCAGTAGGGCTGCTGAATTGCGAGTGAAGCTGTGACTTGGGTAGCTGTTGTGGAGTCAACGCAAGGGAGGGGTTGTCGGTGTTTCGCCATCCTAGATCCCCGTTTCTTATCGATAACACTAGCGTAATCGCCAACTTAATGTCCAGCCATCCCAGAGGACTGAATGCGACAAGACATTATCCACCTACAATTCTACCACCGAGGGACCTGTAACAACAGTGCCTTCAATTTACTTTCACAATGAGTGGCAATGGCCTTTCCTACGGCCTAAACATCACAAAGAAGGCGAAGCCGATAGGTTTCCGCCCCCCACCCGGGAAGAGGAAACCCATCTTCGACTCTGATGGCGACTCCGGCGACGACGACACCAGCAAAGGCGGCGCCGCCGAAGAAATCGGCGAATTCGGCGGCCTCGACCTCCCCTCCAGCAAACCCTCCACAAGCAAGCCCTCCAAACCCTTATCTAAACCCTCCAGCAAACCGAATCCCTTCTCCAAACCCCCCACCGGCGCCAAACCAAAGTCCAACACTCCCCAATCCCTCTACGGCGACCTCTCCACCTCCTTCAGCTCCTCCAAACACGCCGCTACCGCCGAATCCATAGACTCAAGCATCTATGACTACGATGCCGTCTACGACTCTCTCAAGCCCGTCAAGCAGGTGACGGAAGCCGACAAGGAGCGAAAGCCCAAATACATGACCTCCCTCCTCGCCGCCGCCGCGGTGCGCAAGCGCGATGCTACGATAGCGGAGGAGCGAAAGCTGGCGAAGGAGAGAGAGGCGGAGGGGGAGGAGTACGCGGATAAGGAGAAGTTCGTGACGGAGGCGTATAAGAAGCAGCAGGCTGCTAATCGGATCGCTGAAGCCGAGGAGAAAGAACGGGAAGAGAGGGAAGCTAAGGAAAACAAAAACACTGGGTTTACGGGGTTTTATAAGGATCTGCTGGAGAAAGATGAGAAGAGACATGCCGAGATTGTGAAGGCTGCCGAGGAGCGCGGGAAGGCTGGCCCGGAAGCGAAGGTGGAAGAGGAAGAAGGGGGGGAGAAATCGGAGGCACAGATTGCGAAGGAGATAAACGAGAAGAAATCCGGCGCCATCGCCGTCAACGACGAAGGCCAAGTCGTGGATAAACGCCAACTCCTCAAAGGCGGCCTCAACATAATCCCCAAAGCCAAGCCCGCCGCTCCCGCGCCCCGGCACAACCGCGACGCGATGGCTGATAGGCGCGGCGCGGCGTTTGTGGGCACGGGAGGAGGGAAGCAGGCTATGAGGGAGAGGCAGACGAGGATGATGGAGGCGCAGTTGGAGGAGGCGACGAAGAGGGCGAGGGAGGAGGAGGAGGAGGAGAGGGAGAAGGTGGAGAGGGCTAGTAAGAGTCGGAAGACGGAGGGGGAGATTATGGGTGCTAAGGAGAGGTATTTGTTGAGGAAGAAGGAGGCGGAGGAGGCGAAGAGGAGGGAGGCTGAGGGGAAGTGAGGGGAATATGTAAATTATTTGGTTATAAGAATAAGCATGCAATATATCAGACCGCTACAAAACATAACACTACCATTTGGCCCATATGGATTACTCTCTCAAGCACTGAAAACTTACAAGTTGACCAAAAAAACATGCATCTCCTATCCTCGGTGTCACCACATTCCAGCAAAGTTACACACAACAAGCGGCTCATGTCGTTAAAACTATTCGCTATGGTAATACTACCTACCGCTGAAACATCCGCAAAACAAACGTTATCCTGTACGCCCACGCCATCATCCGACTTTTCGTAACACATGCATGCAATGCTTCATTCTTCTCCCCCTCTCCCTCCAATCCCCTTATCCCCAACTCCTTTAACCACCTTAACCATCCCCGACTCCTTCGCCCCCTCGCGCCCTACTGCGCCGTCAAAGCATTACTCATCGCCAAAACACTCATCCCCAAAAACGCACACCCAATACACAACTCCTTCCTATGACACATCCCCAACCCCTCCACAAAAAGCTGCAACGCCACACTCGTCATAATCCCCGCCGTAACCGCAAACATGCATCCATACACCGCGAACCCCGGACCCCCCACCCCACCCTCATGACCGCGATCCTCGTGCTTGGCGAGTTTAAACCACAATGCTGCGATCCCGGCGCCTAGGGGTTGACTCACGCCGCCGAGGATGGAACTCCAGCACATTGCTTTTGTGCGGGAGCCGAGGGCGAGGTAGAGGGGTAGGGCCATGGCGAAGCCTTCGGTGATGTTGTGGGTGAAGAGGGCCATGAAGACTGAGAATCCCAGGGCGGGGGATGCGTGGTTCGTGGCGTAGGTGATGAAGCCTTCGGGAAGCTTGTGGAGGGCGATCGCGATACTGGTTTGGAGACCGATATTCAGGAATGCGTTTTCGGGAACGTGGTGGTGGTGCGCGGCTTCTTGTTCCGCTTCGTCGTCGGAACAGGTGGAGTCGGTGAGGCACGCGCCGTCGAGGTCATGGTCGTGATCGTGCACGGAACCGCAGCTGCTGGAGACGTGGTGGAGTTCGGTGGTTTGAGACTCGATGTCCTCTCCCTCGTGTCGGCGGAGGGAGCGCACGCGTCGCAGGGTTGGGGGGCGAGAGTGCGAATGACTCCTCATAGCTAGGAATTGCTTGAAGCATTCCTGACCGCATGGTTCGGAGTACCCGAAGCATGGCCCCAGTTCATCGCAGTTCGCCTTGTTATCGCGCACGAAAGACATGACGCGGTTCTGGACCTGTACCATAGACGGGCGCCGCGAGGACTCAGTGAGAGTATGTTGGTCGGATGGGGGTTGGGAGGGCGTGAGAGAGGGGCCGCCGTCCGTCGGGAAAGGGTGGCCGGGTCTCGCGCGGACGGAATCCCCGTTTAGGAGGGGGGTTGATTCGGTGTCCTTGGCCACGCCGAGGGTCGGGGATCGTGGCGGGCCGTGGGAGTGCCGACGACTGCGGGGATGGGGGACGTGGGGTTGGGGGTGCGCGTGCGTATGCTTTCGAGCATGCTGGTGGCCACGATGTTTTATGGTTTCGTCGTGGCGGTGATCGCAGTCGACGACTTGGGAAGGGATGTAGTGGTGGAGGAACCGCGAGATGATTTGGATGCCGATGAATCCGAGGATGAAGAAAACGAGGAGCAACCAGGACGCCTTTGCTGGGGACATCTCGGCTTTTTCTAGGTACTTTTTTGAGGATGGCAGCATGCTGTATAGCGCGGAGAAGATCTAATGTCGTTAGCACGGTCTAGAGCGTCGAAGCGGGGAGTTATTACCATGACGCCAAAGCTCAGACTCATTGAGCATGCGAGAAAGAGACTGCTGTCCTGTATGCTGAAGTCCTTCCATCTGGGTACGCGGCGCAGAAGAAGGTCAATGCAGATGATACTTGAGCCGACAACGCAGGCTGGGTGGATTGTTAGCTATCTATACTATGTTTGCCGGAAGAAAGGACGAGCTTTACATACCTATGCCGCTGGCAATGGTCATAATCCATCCCCGGACATCGTTGTCCAGTGGGGTCCGCATCTTGCCGCCTCCACTCCCCAGAAGCGCAATGCTTCAACTGCGAACTCGAAACGCGTATCAAGCCGTGTTGAGCGTATTTTCCACGATTTCAACGGATGCTGAGGGTAGTTCTGAGAGATGGTGGATGTCTGCGCCCGTATATACTTTCTGACGGTGGCGGGTTCTGATATCTCGTCTTCGAAGCGTAATAGAAGAATTTATATACTTCTCTATCGGTGTCGCAAAACAACAAAGCCGCCGAGACGCAGACTCCCTTCGGTGGGTGTGACGATGGAAGACTGAAAGGCCGCCTTACAAATAGACAAATATGCCGTTCCCCCCCACGCTACCCCTCAAGGTGTCAGGGTGTGTGTCTTTGTCTTATGATTACTCGTACAGCACAGGGCCGACCTGGGGCATATGAGCATATATTCGGGCCTGCAGCCAAGTGATGAGAGTGAGACAGGGAGCACAGGATGAGGGTAGGCACATACACTGGATACAGAATGTATACAATGAAAACAATGACAATGAAAAAACACAGACACAAAGATGCTGTGTAAGCAAGAATTGGGTGAGCAAGTAAGTTTTCTAGATTGGTCTCTGCCCGCCTGTCCGCCTTGGTAGGCTCTACTCAGGGTAACTAGTGTGAACGAATGCCAATCTTGTTGAACGTCATCACGTTACTTGGATAGTTTTTTAGTGGTTTTTTAGTGGTTGGTTAGAGATGAGTTAGTGGTCGTCAAAGAAGGTTAGAGGAGGTTAGTGGGATGTGGAATGTAGCTAGCCTAAAAGAGGAAGGCGTTGATCCCTCAAGGTAGCGGTTTACTACCAACTTCGCGTACTTGAGGTAGCATTTACTAGCATTTACTAGCATTTACTATAGTAACACACACAAAAGACCCCGGTCTACCCCGACCGACTAGCCGACACCTGGATGGGTTGGGGATCACGTGAGTTAGAGACCTACTCGACCACGCGGGATCGCCCGACCGTCTCCTTACCATTTCCCTAACCGTACGGTCACCAGCACGGCCTTTCCCCCTCTAGCCTCACCATAACACGCCTACAACACGTTCCACCCCACGCTACACGCTACCCGGTTCCTCCCCTCGCGCTCTCCACCAAAAAAAAAAGTTCACGCGCGTCTACCTCCCCTGCACTAAACCCCTAAGCCTGACCCTGCATTTGATCACCCGCGACACCAGCCTGCTCCTCAACGACCAACACATAAGAGTAGCCAGCCAGAAGATCAGCGCGTGCCTGTGTGCGCCAACAACCCTCGAACGGCACCAACACGATACGACGACAAATCTGTCTACCTGACTGACTATCCGGGGCTCCGTGACTGCCTCTGCCTCTTCACTCTTGACTCCCATATATATATCCAGCACCTCCCAGACCCGGCGCCTCGCCCTCTTTCAAGATGTCAAAAACTACATTCGCAATCATAGCTGCCGTCAGCGCTGCCACCGGAGCCGCCGTCACAGCAGCGAGCATGTCCCTCGCAAGCCCCACCACCAAGAAAACCAAACCAACCCCACCAACACTCTCAACACCTCCCTCTCCCACCGCATCCGCGACCCTCCCAGCACCCGTCCCCTTCCCCGGCGCCCTCGCCATCACCGCCCCAGTCGACCCAGCCGGGCTCTTCCAATACGGTTTCCCCGGCCCCGTCGCCGACCTCGCAACCCGCAACTCCCTGATCTCCTCCTTCGACCGCCGCACCAAGAATCCATTCTGGGTAGCTGAGCACATCACCCCCGCCTCGCTCGCGAGCCGCGAAGGCGACCGCAAAGGCTCCGTCTTCCTGGAGGATCCCGACGTGCCCGAGAAGTTCCGCGGGAAGCTGAAGGATTACTTCCGCTCCGGCTATGATCGGGGTCACCAGGTGCCGGCAGCGGATGCGAAGTGGTCGCAGGAGGCGATGAATGATACTTTCTACCTGACGAACATGTGTCCGCAGGTCGGCGAGGGATTTAATAGAGATTACTGGGCGCATTTTGAGGATTTCTGCCGCCGTCTGACTACCCGCTACCCGTCTGTCCGTGTCGTTACGGGGCCGCTTTACCTCCCGAAACGCGATGCGGATGGGAAATGGCGCGTCTCGTATGAGGTCATCGGGAATCCACCTAACATCGCTGTTCCCACGCATTTCTACAAAGTCATCTTCGCTGAAGACGGAAAAGTCGGCGGACAAGTAGCCGTGGGTGCCTTCGTTCTCCCGAACGCGAGGATCCCTAACGATAAGCCCCTATCTGAATTCGAAGTCCCCGTGGAAGCGGTGGAGAGAGCGAGTGGACTGGAATTTGCGACCAAGTTGCCGGTGCAGAGGAGGAAGAGACTTTGTGTTGATACGGCGTGCTCGTTGGTTATTAAGGAGTATGCGCAGAGGCAGCAGGCGTTTGTGAAGGAGGAGAGGAAACAGGTTTCTGCGCCTGGGTCGCCGAGGATTTAATTGGATGATATTATGGATACAAGAGCCGTCGAGAGGATGGTTTGCATGGCGCGGCGTTGTTCAGACAGGAAGACAGACAGCTGGGTGATTTCCCAGTTTGTTGGTGGGGAGGTCTTTTGCGCATAGTACACAGGGAAGGGCGTCGTTTGCATTATACACACTTGCTAGAACCTACGCTTTCAGAAGCATATTTTCTTAGTCTCTTATTATCATGTACACTCTAGATTAGAAATAACCCTTATATACCAATACAGCGCTTTCAAAGTTAAAATTTACAGGTATCTCTTTTCCGAACACTTTTGTTCCTTCTTTTCTCTCACTTTCCTCTTCTCTTTCAGATCTCTTTCTCTTCCCCCTTCTCTTTCAGGTGGCGAAACTTTCAAGCAGAGCCGCATGACAAGCACGTTGCGTTCCTGCATGACTCAACGCGTCACGATCTGCCATCTCACCAGGTCAGGGGGCAGACCCTGCGCCCACCACCCAGGCTTCCAAACCCGTGACCTCCCACCACTCACCACCCTTCTCATCCCGTGACCATCTATAAATACCCTCTCCCACCCCTCCCATTCCAGAATACTTCCTCATCCCATCCCACAGTACTCCCCATCCCATCCCAAACTTACAACCTCCCCTCCCTCCCCTGCAACGCACCGCTCATCATCACCTCCTCCCTCCTCCCCCTCCCTCCCATAACCATCTCCCGTCCCCCCCTCGTACACCACCACTCCACACAAACACCCCCCCTCTCAACATCCATCTCCCCCCCCTCCAGCGCCTCCCAAAACCGTTCCTGACACACCCTCCTCATCCCCCCCTCCTCTGCCACCTGTCTCACTGCACCAGCAGCAAGGGGTAACCACTCCCTCAGCGCATGAGGGGCGAGGGAACTCAACGCATCTAGTAGCGCGAGCGTGAGGGCTGCTTGCTCCGTCAACGGCACCTCCGGGGCTGCCATACCATCTGGCCCTGCCTCTGCGGGGGGGGCTTGCGGTAATAACGCTGTCGAGGCGTGTAGAGCGCGGAAACGGAGGAGTTCGAGTAGCGTATCTGGTAAATCCGGATGCGACGCCGCCAGCGGGTTCGGGGGCGTAGTAACCTCCAGCAGACTCTTAAACGCGAGTCTGAATTGTCTAGCGGACAGATTCGAGGGGAATGAAGCGAGGAGCGCGGTTGCGTAGGGGGGGATTGCTGACGCGGCGAGTAGGGCGTTGGAGGGTGCGGTGAGGACGGAGAGGGTGAGGGAGTGTGCTGCTTCGAAGAGGGGGAGGAGGGGGGGAGAGGGGGTGCTGGCGAGGTAGGGTGTGCATGCTTGTAGCAGCGCGGCGTTGGAGGCGGGGGAGAGGATGAGGGGGAAGTGCTCGGCGGTGTTGAGGTAGTAGAGGTCTAGATTCCTATCCAGTGGGTGCGCGGGGATAGCCCCAGGATGTGAGGGCCGGATGGATTCGAGGAAGATTGTGGCGTGGCGCGGGTAGCGCGCTAGGATGTCGATGGAAGTTAAAGAGACGAAGGTGTATGCGGTGAAAGAGGCGGTGCCGAGACGCGAACTGATGAAGTAGAGGGAGCGGAGGGTGTGGAGGGAGGAGGAGGAGAGGGAGGCGGCGTGGGCGTCGGTTGCGAGGAGGGGGTCGATGAGGATGCGGCCGAGGACGGAGCGGAGGATCACGACTGTGGCGAACATGGCGGATTTGAGGAGCTGGAAGAGGGCTGGGAAGGTTGTTTGGGAGGTTGCGGGGGTGAGGTGGGTGGAGAGGTCGCTGGGGTCGATGGTGGAGAGTTTGTTGTGGCGCCATTGGAGGAGGAGTTCTTGGGAGAACTTTTGGAGTTGCTCGACTAGGTGGAGGATGCTGGGTTTGGGGGCTTGGAGGTGCTCGACTGTGTATGCGACGAGTCGAGAGAAGGGGCCCATGGATGAGACGAGGGGTCTGGAGGAGACGTCCTTTAGATATAGGAATCCGCGCGAGGACGGCGACCAGTCCAGTTTATTGTCTGGCGTAACCTGCACATCGGCATCGATAGCACCCACAAACTGCCCCATCTCATACCCCGACGGTCCCACCATCGCTCCCACAGCAATGGGTAAGAGAAGGTCAAACCTAATCTCCCTCTTCGCCTGCTCAGACAGCAAATCAAACGTATGATTCAGCGCCAACAGCGTCGCTTCCCCCCCAACAAAGAACCCCTCCTTCGGATCCTCCATCGCCAGATTCGCAGCCATTATCAACGCCCCCTCCAGCGACATCCTCAATCCCCTCGACAACCCTCGCCTCCCCTGGCCCCCCATCCCCAGTAACACTCCAGCAATCGCAAGAACATGTCTCCACCGCGGCGACTTATCATCCGCCCCCTTCACCACCGCCGTCGCCCACTCATCTGGCCCCAGCCCGCCGCCGCGCCTCGGATAGCCAAGTAGATTCGAGTCATTGGACTGCGCTTGCTTCAGCACTGTGATCGCGGCGGTGTTATAGATGCTTATAATGCGCAGACACGTCTGCAGGTCCAGCGCATGCGTCGCCCATATCGCTGGCGCGGCGAGCAGTTGCGAGGTCAGGAGCGTGATATTAAGCGGGTTCGTGAGTGTCGTGAGGAGGGAGGTTGTGGAGCCGAGAATCTTGCTGGTGAGTGCTGGGTCGGGGAGTTTTTGGTACGCTCCGAGGACGGTGGTGAGCATGCGATCTGAAGACATCGTGGCGCATCGATTGTTGTTGTGTTTGGTGAAGACCGGTTGCGATGGATGGGGGAGTTGAGGTGGACGGTTGACGGATCTAATCAGCCGAGGCTCAGCAGCCTTCCCTGTCAACCCATGCAGGTGTGCCCGGCCCTAGAACATGACGCGCCGATCAGAGCTTGGGCTTCTGACAGCTCCTCGAAATAAATCGCAACAATTAAATTCAACGACTTTTTACCACAACGCGAAGGTGCAGATTACGCTGCTTTCTCAACTGGGACACGTAATGTAGGGGACGATGTCGGGAATAAAGTTAGCAAGCCATATCCATCCATCCAAAGCTTGGGATAACCGCTAACAATTCACTCTCCCAGAACTCGCATCTCAGACCCTGCGCCCCTCGACTATGAAACTCCTCCCTTTCCATCGCTCTACTGGCCGTTGGATGCGAGGCCCGGAGTCGCCAGCTATCTCTACTACGTCAAAGACATCTGGCGCTTCACCCTCCTCTGGACGCTCATCTTCTACGCCGCGTTCCACATCGCAACCGCTGCACTCGCGGTGTGTATGCAAGTAGGGAAGGGCAGGAATGCCTTTAGATGGGTCTGGAGTATACCGATCGCATATGCTGCGATTGCGGGGATTGAGGCGGTGCTTGCTGGGAGCATTGTTGGTTTGATGTATGTCTCCCCCGGCTCTGTCTGGTATTTGCTCTGGCTAACAAAGAACCAGATTGGGCGCGGTTTACGATGCTGGTTACTTCCGCATGTCGACGTGGATACCCCTCGTATGGTCTCTGATCAATGTCTTGGTCTTGATTCTATCGGCCTTCTCTTTTCAAGGCGCCCTATGATCTATCTATACTCCTCAAACTCGACTACATCTCAGCTACTCGCCGCTTCCGCCTCCTCGGTGTTTGCCAACCTTGGATCCGGAGCCTTGACTTCGATCTTCTTAAGAACCCTCGCCGGATTCCCCGCAACGACAACGAAGTCAGGAACATCTTTAGTGACCACGCTCCCAGCGCCGATGGTGACCCCCCTACCAATAGTGATACCGCCAAGCACCGTCACATTACCTCCGAACCAGCAGTCTTCCCCAACAGTAATCGGCGCCCCCAACTCCGGGCCTTGCGTTCCATTCCGCAGAAACGGATCTAACGGATGGGACGCAGCGAAGAAGGAGCAGTTTGGTCCAATGAGAGTGCGTGCTCCGATGGTGATAGTGCACGTGTCCAGGAAGGTGCAGTTGAAGTTAATGTAGACGCCCTTTCCAATCCTGGGCAAATATATGTGTTAGTGGGTGGCTCTGAAGGGGAGGAAAGGGGAGACAACGCACTTCGTATTGGTGCCATAGTCGACTTTGATGGGACCGTCTACCCATGCATCGTCGTTGAAGAGCTTATCATCCTCCTCTTGCGTGGGTGCTTTGGCGGGGAGGGGGGTTTTGTCGCCAAGGATACTAGAATATGTTGTTAATACAGACACGTCACCACCCCATGCGAACTGAACTTTTTGATCTGGAATAATATGAATAAAACGAAAACCTACTCTCTCCACAGCTCTACCAAGCGGCGTCGGTCAACCTCCCCAGCACTGTTGAAGCGGTCGCAGGCGTGGTGGCAGCGCATCCGTGATGCCGTGAGACGAGGGGTAAATGCGTAGTAGAGGTCCCCGCGTAACATGTTGGCCAGATTCTCATCTTCATTAATATTCTCCATTGTCGCTGAAGAGTAAAAAAAGACGGCCGGTAGAGAGGGACGATGCTGGTTCTGGAATGTAAAGAGATCTATCAGAGGTATAAGTAATATTGGAAGTATTCACAATCTACAATTTATGATTTATGATATAATGGTAGGAGGTGGTTCGATGGGATAGTTATAGTCATTGAGGAGTTACACGCGGAGGTACTTACTCGGATTGGTTCCGAGGTGTACGAGCCACGATTGTTCGACAACTTCAGCCGTACTCGCGTGGTATCTCGTACCTTAATATTGTCTCATCCTTGGCTCAGCCTTGCCATTGTCCTACAACCCCTCGATCCCAAACCTCAACAACACCCAGCTCGCTCGGACGAGTTGAGCTGCTCCTCACCACTATATAACACAGCTCGTCCAACGGGACAAAGAAGCATGTCCACCTGAAATCCCCCAAGACTGCCCCAATTCAATCCTCTCACCACCCACAACCTCACCACTCCTCACCCCACAGCCTCGCAACAAAAAATATCCACCACCACGCCACAAACACCCTCAAAAATGGCAACCAGAGTCAACGGCGCCATCAACGGCTCCTCCGCCGTCCCCAACGGCGCTCCCCAGCGCGAACCCACAATCCCCATCCTCCCCTCCTCCCCCGCCACCAACCCACTCGCCCAAATCTCCCACGGCGGCCTAGGCCACCCCCCCTCCTTCCCCTCCCTCACCCCCACCCCCCCAGCCCTAAACGCATACGAGAAGCAATACTACCCCTCCCAGCCCATCTCCCTCTCCGGCATCGCCTCGCGCGCCTTCCTGCTAGGCGCACTCCTCTCCTTCTCCGCCGCCCTCTCCGCCGTCCTCGCCCTGCAGGGGTCGCCGTTCTGGCGTCCCCCGTTTTTTGCAGCGACGTTGGCGGTGTTTCATTTCCTGGAGTTTTGGACGACGGCGAGGTATAATACGAAGGCGGCGCAGGTGAGCAGTTTTTTGCTGAATCAGAATGGGAGTGCGTATACGATTGCGCATGCGGCGGCGATGGCGGAGTCGACGATCTCGTGTTTGTTGATTACTTTCCCGCCGTCGACTTTCCTCCCGGATTTTATAACAGCTTGGGCACTTCCTGCGCTTCCGGAATGGGTAGGCACGTTCACCTTAGCAGCTGGGCTCATCCTCGTTCCTGTCGGCCAGCTTGTGCGCAGCCTTGCTATGGTGCAGGCGGGTGGGAATTTCAACCACATCGTGCAGGCGCGCAAGGCCTCCTCTCATCAACTTGTCACATCGGGGATATACAGTGTTTCTCGGCACCCGAGCTACTTCGGCTTCTTCTGGTGGGGATTGGGCACGCAGCTTGTGCTGGGGAATGTTGTTTGTTTTGTGGGGTATGCGGTGGTGTTGTGGGTGTTTTTTAAGAGGAGAATTGCTGGTGAGTTGCTTTTATTCCCTTCTTTCTGCATTCCCCCTCCCCCGCTACAGTTATGGATAGTTGTGTGGTGAAGATGAGAGGCGGAGGGATGCTAATGCCGTATCAGGAGAGGAAGAATACCTAGTCCGCTTCTTCGGCCAGGAGTATCTTGACTACCGCACCCGCACCGCCGTCTGGATCCCCTTCATACGATGACAAATTAGCCCATCAGCAGCAGCAGCAGTCGCCACCACGGCTTGTCAGACAGAGGGCATTCCGGGACTTGGGATTCTGATGCAGAAGTGGGAGGGTGCGTAGTTTCCGGTTTTAAAGGGGGGAAAGGGGAGGGTGCCCATATGGCGTTTTGGGTATGGGGATCTTATTTCTGGAGGAGTGGAGGGATAGGGGAAGGGGACGATGTCTCGATAGGAGAATGTAATACTCGCATGTAAGAGCCCATTAATATAAATAATTTTTCATTCACAGCCGCTCTCGTATGTATGATCAACGAATACTGGCCTAGTCTGCATACAGCTTTCATCACAATGATAGGGACATTACTGTGAACGTATATGCTTTTCTGTCCATTTTGATTCAGTTCATCATGCATAATTGCGCCCGCCTGGTATACAAAGCCAGCTCCCGCCTCCAATAACAACAAAAAAAAATGATAGCAGCAAAAAAGACCGTGTAGACTGTGTTTTCCTCCTCCTCTCCCACCAGCACCACCAGCACCACCACCACAACCACCACAACCACCACACATCACCCCCCTCCCCCTCCCCTTTGTGCAAACCCCACCCTATCACGCACCCCCTAGAAGCGGTGACTCCTCTTATTCTGCGTCCTCCACGCCGTATACCCCACATACGCCCCCCCCACCACCGCAAAGAAAGCAACCACCTTAAACAAGAACCACCCCCACCCGCCACCCCCACTCTTCTTCGCCGCACTCCCAAACTTCCCCTTATCCTTCTTCCCCAACTGCTCCTTCTGCGGCACCGACGACGATGCGCCGACTGTATACAGATTCTTCGTCGTCACGCTGACAATATCATGGTTATCGCTCAACTCCCCCGTCTCCGCGCTGAACCCCAGATACGCGACAGAAGGCAGCATCGGTGGCTCCGTCTTCTCGAAACAGAGGATCCATTCATCCTCCGCCTTGTACTGGAGATCCAACCTCAGGAACTTATCCTGGAAGTACTTCAATCGCGCCTTAGTGGGGACAGAGGCGCCGCGGATGCCCCGAGCAGAGCAGCCGGCGTATTCGTTCGCCTTGCCGTCGTGCGCTTTGTCGTAGGGCGTGGTGCCGTCGCCGATCATGGCCATGACGTAGGGGAAGACGGTGCCGGGACGGTTGTTCTTGTAGGTGTCGATGAAGATCCCCAGGCCTTCGAAGTTGTCGGTTGAGCCGAAGACGGGGCCGGGGGTGTTGCGTTGGCGGGTGAGCCACATGGCCATGCCGTCGCCGTGGAGGTTGCCGGCGCCGTCGATGGTGAATTCGAATTCGATCTGGGGTGGGGTGTTAGAGGGGGGGTGTGTGTGTGACGGGGTGGTGAGGGAGGGTAGGGGGGTAGGAGGGGGAAAGTGCGCATACCTCCCAGTTCGTGGCGGTTAATGGGACGCGCGACCAGATCCAGCCTTCCCTCGAGGGACGATCCGAGGTCAATCGCACATATCTACTTCCGTATCAGCATACTGCCACATCCACAAGCCACCAGAATTCCCATCATCCCATCCCCAGCGCAGAGAAGTAAGTAAGGCCACGTACTTATCAGTCCTAATAATCGTATCCCCCCCAAAATCCCACCACCGACTCTGCATATCGGTATCCAGGTACGGCTATCCTGCGTTAGCTTCCCTCCCGTAAAACCCATCCCTCCAATCCCTCATCTCTCCAAAAGACGTACCGCGGTCAGTGAATGCGTGCGCAGCTATCGTAAGGTGTCAGTTACAGCTGTCTGTCTCAAGCTAGTTTCTAGCTATCTAGATGGATGGCATGCCACGAACCGGAATCGACCGCACCTCCTCAACAGGCGGCGTCTTCTCGCCCATCACGCTGACAGCAAGCCATGCGGCCGCGAGCTTCGTCGAGAACCTCATGACGCTTGTCGCTGTCTCAGCAGCAGCCTAGCTTCCCTCGTGTCACAAAAGAAAGGACGATATAAAAAATGAAACAAGCTCTGAGCGCAACAGAGAATGTCAATCGGTCGCAGACCGACTCAATGAATTGTTACGGGCGTGGCGGGTGGAAAACTGATTTCTGATAGTCGGGTGCGAGCTCAACTGACAGCTATATGCGCTTTCTCTCCCACGCGATACCTGGCCTCTCTGGTCGTTTGGGTCTGGGGTCGGCGGTTGGCGTGGGTTGCGGGCGCACTGACCGCGGCTAGGGCGAAGTGGGTGGGCGCATCATTGGTTGTGGAAACAATTTTTGGCTCCGTGGGTGTACCTGTTTAGATATATCTACGACACTGCAAACACAAACACAAACTGTTACTTCTACAACGAAACGATTATCACGAGCTTTTTCGACCCTCAATTAAGGTTCTAATATTGTAATACGCACACACATATCTTTTCATCATGTCGATCGATAATGTCGGAGCCTCGTTCGGTATCTCGGGCAGCGACCCGAAGACGGCGTTGATGAACCAAGTTCGTCAAGAAGCCGCATTGAACAACGCCAGGCAGCTGATCGAGGTATGTCTATACCCCCCTCCTCCGTCCCTCATTCCCTCCTCCTCCTTCCCTTCCCCCAATCCCCTTCCCCCTTCTTCCAATCCCCCCAATCCCTCACCCCCCATACACCACAGCTAACCCCCAACCAGAAACTCAACGAACACTGCTTCGCCAAGTGCATCCCAAAGCCCGGCTCCTCCTTCAGCAGCGGCGAGCAGCAATGCTTCACACAGTGCATGGAGAAATACATGTCAGCCTGGAACACGGTTAGCCAGCAGTATATCGCGCGGGTCCAGCAGGAGGGCGCGAAGAATGCGGGTGGGGGGATGTTTTAGATGATGGGGGTTTTTGGGCCATTCGTCGGGGGATTGAAGAGAAGGGGGGGTGTATTATTACCAAAAGATTGATGGATGGGTGTATGATTGCGGGGGTGGGAAGGGGGTTGTGTGTACTTTTACAATATTATGAGGGAGGAGAAACGGATACACTAGAAGGGTGTGAATATCTCCAGATACAAGAAAGGGTGGGATCAATAGATTGATTGTAACGCCATGGTATCTAACGCCGCAGATGTGATGTACATAACAACACTACCATCGTTGTCTGTATCTCCTTTTGCCAGCCCACCGCCACCCACTATCCTCCCTTCAAAAACACTTTCCAACTAGCAACCTATATTAATACACCGCCCCCCCCCCCCAAACTAACTACCTAGCACGCGTATACTTCCCCTTCCTCTGCTCCATCTGCAAACTCTCCTGCTGACTTGGCAACGGCCCACGCTTCCTTATCCCCGCAGCACCCGCCTCCTCAGCACTCTGCGGCGCAAACCCAGGTATTGGCGGCGGCACGCCTCCAAGCCCAGGAGGAAGTCCCGGCATACCCGCCATCCCCGGTGGAGGCGGTGGGAATCCAGGTGGGAGCGTGAATCCCGGCGGTAACAAGCCAGGCGGCAAGATGCCCGGTGGAGGGGGAGGGAATTGCCCGCCCTGCCCTGGGGGAGGTGGAGGCGGGATACCAGCTTTCTTCATCATAGCTGTGAGTGTAGCTAGATCGGGGGGGTTATTCGGGTCCATTGGTGGAGGCGGTGGGAGGTTGCCGCTCAGTCCCGGTAGACCAGAGAGGTTAAATGGTAGTTGCGGGGGAGGCGCGACAGCGCCCATACCAGGGATCATTGATTGGGATCCAGGGAGTGGTAGGCCGGGGATACCTGGGAATCCAGGTATCTTAGCAGGCATTTTCTGGTCCTCCAGACCATCCATTTCATCTTCCATCTCCTGCTCCTCATCCTCCTGGCGCTTCTGCCTCCAGTTTCTGCGATCCCACGTCCCCTCCGCCTCCGCGGCCGCCTCGCCGATATGGTAACGGTCTTTAAAGACTGTCGAATCGCCTGGGCGCGCGCGCGTCCAGAAACGTGTGAGCCTATCGTTGGAGCCCGAGGCGAGGATGTGGCCGAGCGGGTGCCAGTCCAGGGACCAGATGGCGAAGTCGTGGGCGAAGGGGATTTTGTGGGCGGGGTGGATGGTTTGCGACGGCGCCGTGGCCGGGTCAGGACTATCACATACGGCGGTTGAGGGCATGGTGCCTGCGGGTGTGTGGGGTTCGTCGAGGAGGTAGTGGAAAAGGGACCCGTCGGAGCCGCCGGTGCTGAGGAGATTGGAGTGGATGGGATGCCAGGTTATGGTTGAGATGTCTTTTTCGTGGCCTTTGAGGAGGCAGATGTCGCGCATCATTCGTAAATCGAAGACGCGGGCTGTTTGGTCTCGTGCGGAGGTAGCGAGACATAATCCACGTACGCGTTCGAAGAGGGTCTTGGTGATGGTGTTTTTGTGGCCGTGGAGGGTGGTTAGGCAGCGGCTTGTTCGGGGATCCCATAGCTTTACTAAATGATCTTTGGACCCGGAAACGATCAGGCCCTTGGTTGGATGCCAGTCGACGCTCTTGGCGTCCCATCCGTGGCCAGTAATGGTCGACTCTTCAACTCCCCCTGCAAAATCAAAGATCTTAAGAGTTGAGTCGTCTGAAGCTGTGACAAACTTGGAATCGTTCGGGCTGAAGGCCATATCTCTGATGGGGTCGCCGTGGCCCTGAATAACCTTGACGTTGTTGAAGTTGGGCTGCCAGTATTTGATAATACCATCATGATCAGCCGAGATCAGCCAGTCGCCGTTATGTGAGTATGACAGCGCCCTGATGGCAACGTCGTGAGCCTGCTGGATGGTCTCGAAGTTGAACCCCGTGCCGTTCCATAACGTGAATTCACCGCTGCTGGATGCAGTCAACAACCTGCGGCCTTCTGGCGTCCAGCGCACAACGTTCACTGGATGCTTGATCTTGTTTAAGGAGGAATGTAGATGATGAGCGGGTATAGTATCAGCAGCCTTGTCTATCCTGGCAAGGGGAGGAAGCATCTGAGATTGTCAGTACGCGTCACGTGTCATCGACAATGACCTGTTGATGCAACGGGTACTCACATCGACGATGTAGCTGGGACTCGGCCTCTCCATCTCTCCTTGGAGGCGTGCCTTGTAGCGTGGCTGGCGGTTTTGCATCCAATGGACCATCGTCGCGCCGTAGTCTGTGACGGGACCTGGGTTGTATTGTCAGTTGTATGTTCATCGTAGTGCAAGACTGTGAAATAGAGAGTAGACAAGGATGTGAAGTAAAACTCGGTGCCTTCGAGGAAGATATGCGCATAGCCAAGAACAACGGATGGCAGCATGCAAGTGCGGCCGATGGATGAGAACTGAAAAGGAACGTATATTGAGTTGAGAATCATAGCAACTCACGTCGTCCACGTCCTCTCCCAAAGCCACCACCTTCATAGCCACCACCTCCTCCACCCTCATCTCCCCCTCCACCGCCTCCCCCTCTGCCTCCTCCTCCTCTACCACCACCACCACCTCCATAGTCACGCTCCCCACGCTGTTCGTACGCCATGGTGATCTAGGTCGTTCGTCGAGGTTATTACCGCATGGCTGGCCAGAACGGAGCTTCTCTCTTCTTCTCTGATTCACCGTCCTCGAGTGAAGCTAGCCTGTCTGAAGTAGTCGATTCCCTTTGATGCAAAATATATATATATATAGTTTAGATAGGTCACGAGATCTCAGTCGTAGGTTTTCTGGGGTTCCATTGGGGGAATTTCCGCTCTGGGATTGATTGCTATGTATGGCAGTCGATGGGGTCGCGACAAGGCCGGAACGGAACAATGTATTGACCGAGACGACAAGGTATAGCGGAAGTATCTCTGTCGGGAGTTACTAAATTTACAATTTTCACACATTGGAGAAGTAGTCTGAACCCACTGTCTCATGCAAATGCCAAGGTACCGCGGTACAAAAATACCTCCAACGTACATGGATATCACTCGGTGCTGCCATGGCATGCCATGTTCTCCAACTTGGCGTAGTATTGGCCCATTTAGCTCATTCGGCCTTCTCAAGACAATTGATAATTGATATTGAAACAATCTTACCATGTGCAGCATGGTTAGCTATTGCAATAGTATGGTTCTATATGGGTTTATATTATAAATACTGTATCTATCTAGCTACCTGCATACGCCATCTATCTCACTTATTTCGACTGTTTCGGTTTCTTGCATACACGTTTTCTATACATGATGCAGGAAACGGCAGGAACCCAAGCAGGGAATAGATAACGAAATACTTACGAGGGGCGAAAAAGCCCAGCCCTTGTCCATGTTTACATATCCCCACCTTCGTCTTCCCCCTCCTCCTCCACTTCTTCCCCAATTCGATATCCTTCCTATCTCTCCCGATCCTTGATCCTTCCCCCTCGAGTCTAGATTTTCTATTTTCTATTTTCTACATAATAAGTCTCACAAGCTTGTCGATGATCTCTTGCCCATCGTATATATACTCCATATACATGGCCCGTCAAACACAGTCCTGATATGAAAACCCCCCCCACGAGCCGACAATGGCCACAGCTGTGAATACCAGGACGACGACCGTCAACTCGACCCTCACCCAGCGATCAGCTCGTTCCAATGGCCGCGCTCAGAGTGCGCAGACCCCACTCAACTCGGCCAGTGTCCCAGCCATCGACGTGCCAGAGGTCAGTCGGCGTCTGCGCATAAAGAAGAAATACAGACATGTGGCAGCTGTCCACTCGCGCCCCCAGAACACCGTCCTCAGCCATGACGCAGCCGAGGTCCCCAGTTTCCTCGGATTCAGAAATCTGATGGTCATCGTGCTTGGTGAGTGATTCTGCTGCCAGAGAATCTAGAGAAGAAGACCTATCTAACAGCTTGTGTTCACCAGTCGTCGGAAACCTGCGCTTGATGATTGAAAACTTCAACAAGGTATGTTCTGCCACTCTCCAACAACCAAAATGATAATCGCGCTGACCACCACCCCCCCAGTACGGAGTTCTCATCTGCCTCCGATGCCACAACTACAAACGCCACGACGTCTTTATCGGCGCCACCCTCCTCCTCATAATCCCCTGCCACCTCTTCGCCGCCTACATCATCGAGCTCGCCGCCGCCAAGCACGCCAAACGCCAGCTCGCAGCCAGTAACCCCCGCTCCGGCGCCGAAACACCCACCCCCACCGAAGCCGAGCGCAAGAAGTTCAACACAGCCTGGGAGCTGATCGCCTGGCTGCACGGTCTCAACGCGACCCTCTGCCTCCTCATCACCTCCGTCGTCGTATACAACTACATCCACCACCCCCTCATCGGCACTCTCTCCGAAGTCCACGCCATCATCGTCTGGCTCAAGACCGCCTCCTACGCCTTCACCAACCGCGACCTGCGCCATGCGTACCTCCACCCCTCTAAGCGCATCGAAGATGCCCTGCCAGACATCTACCTGCAGTGCCCCTACCCGCAGAACATCTCCCTCTCCAATCTAACCTACTTCTGGTGGGCACCCACCCTCGTCTACCAACCCGTCTACCCCCGCTCCCCCCGCATCCGATGGTCCTTCGTCGCCAAGCGTCTCGCCGAAGTCTTCGGTCTCTCTGTCTTCATCTGGGTAGCAAGCGCGCAATACGCCGCGCCCCTCCTGCGGAACTCGCTCGACAAAATGGCTTCCCTGGAACTAATCTCCATCCTCGAGCGGCTCATGAAACTCTCCACCATCTCCCTCGTCGTCTGGCTCGCCGGCTTCTTCGCGCTCTTCCAATCCTTCCTCAATGCCCTCGCCGAAGTCACCCGCTTCGGTGACCGCGACTTCTACAGCGATTGGTGGAACTCCGATAGCGTCGGCGCGTACTGGCGCACGTGGAATAAACCCGTCTACCAATTCATGAAGCGCCACGTCTTCTCTCCCCTCATCGGACGCGGATGGTCCCCCTGGGCTGCCTCAGTCGCCGTCTTCGCGCTGTCAGCAGTGCTGCATGAACTCCTCGTGGGCGTGCCGACGCATAACATCATTGGTGTTGCGGCGCTGGGGATGCTGGCTCAACTGCCGCTTATTAAGCTCACGGCGCCGTTTGAGAGGGCTGGGGGGCATTATGGGAAGTTGGTGGGGAATACGGTGTTTTGGGTTAGTTTTGTGTTGATTGGGCAGCCGCTGGCGGCGTTGTTGTATTTTTTTGCGTGGGAGGCGAAGTATGGGAGTCATTTGAAGGGGAGGGTGTGAAGGGCTGGGGACTCGGATGTTGATGGGTGGAGGTATATAGATGTAGTGATAGGAGTTGAAAACTGGGTCTGGGTTCTTCTTTTAGGATATAGCGTTATTGGGCTGTTAATATGGGAGGCTGGTTTTGATTTGATAGCAATGCATGGAATTGCCCATCGTGAAGATGATTGCAGATATATCAAATGGCAAACATGTGGGTTTTTACAGATGAGTGGAGTGTGCACCGTATGGTATAAACCTCTATTTCCAAGACCAAAACTATCCATCAGTTCAGCCAATAGCCAATGTAAATGCAACTGCTATGCAAGAAAGTAACGCCTCATCATCCCAAAACACCCTATCCCCCTCCCCTCCCAAAACCAAGAACCAAGCACTCCCTCCATATCAAATCCGTTCCATTCATATCAAGTCCATACCCAAAATAACTCCATCCCCACCCGCTCACACAGCAGCAAAACTCAACAAACTCCCCGCCGTCAACCCCGCCACAAGATTAAACCCCATAAACGCCCCCGCCGCCTCCCTCTCCTCCTCTTCCACCGCCCCGGTAGCCCCCATCATAGCACTACTCGCCAACCACCCATTCGTGAGCCCGAAACCGAGCTGCACGATTAGGAGATAGAATAAATCGCTCTGCACCCACGCGCCGCGGCCGGAGACGTTGCTTAGTGCGTAGAGCGGGAGGAAGGCTGCGCGAGCGAGGGAGACTGCGAAGAGAGAGCGTGGTCGGTGGGGGAGGGAGGAAGTGAACAGCGTAGACAACCGACCCAGCAAATCCCCCGTATTCCAGATCAAGAAAGCGAGAGGGATGAAAATCGGTGCATGCAAGTACCTTGGCGTAGGAGCGGGATGCACGCTAATGATCTGCGCTGTGTAGACGGGGAAGAACATCGTGAGTGTGAAGCAGAGGAAGATGGAAGCGGAGTAGAAGGGCAGTTGCCGGTAGAGGGCTGGCATGGACATTACTTTCCTCGCCGGTGCCGCGGGGGTGGGCGAGGTAGGTGTTGGGGTGTGTCGGCGCGCGAGGGGGGTGAAGGCGAGGAGGGTGATGACGGCGACAAAGGTGGCGGTGAGGAAGTAGAGGAATGCTGATGTTGAGCTTGTTTGCGGTGGTGGGACCGCGGGAGGTGTGTTGTCGGTGGATGAGGGTTCTTCGGGGACGGCGAGGACGGAGACGATTTGTGCGATGCTGGGGAGTACGCCGGCGACTGCTTGGCCCGTCATGATGGCTTGCATGTAACTCGGATGCGCGAAGGTGGCTACGAACGCCAACGCCCCGTTTTGGAGCAGCCCTGTTGCTGTACTAGTCGCTAACACGGTGGCGAGGACGAAAGCGAAGTACACCCCTGGAGACACGGTGACGAAGAAGATAGTTGATAGAGCGAGGATTGTGAAGACGACTATGTCGATTATGAGAGCCAAAATGATGCGGCGCGGGTAGGAAGCTCCGGCTTGCAGGTTCGTGAGGAGGAACATGGATGCCAAGTTGGCGGTGGTGGCGACGGTTAGGATGGAGGATTGGTAGTTGACGAGGATCCAGGGACTGCCTTGAAAGCGGGTTGCGAAGTAGGTTGCGGCAGCTAGGAACATGTTCCTATACACAGATGTCAGTTGGTGATCGCGGACGCCCGGTAGGTCGGATGAAGCTTACCATGCCCACAGCATCGCGACTCCGAGAATCAGGAATACAGTGTATTCCACCCACGAGAACGGCTTCTCTTCAAGTGCCAGTGCCTCTTGTAGTGTAATATCATCGGCGCCACCCTCCTCATCCTCCCTCCCAACAAGCTGTTCATACTCATCCCCCCGCACCTTCTGACTCCGCAGAGTCGCCCGAAGGCGTTCAATGACAGCGTTCATAACGAACAAGGTAGACCGATTCGGCCTCTCGAAGCTTCACCAATGTATCATAGACTCCAAAAAACCACTGATCCAAAAGGTGGCGGTGGTAGATGTAGGGTTGATGGGTGGATTGTTGTGTTGCTGTTTGTCGGTGTTGGTGTCACAGGGTGAACCCCAATTCACCTGGCTGGATGGCTAAAGGCACGCCCTCGCCTATCCCTACCCTTATCTCCAGCCGCCCCACCGCGCGCCACCACGCCGGGCCATCCCGCATAAGCGCGTCAACCGCTATCCCCTGTTGATATCAAAATAGGCACGTGACCTGTAAATTACTAGTATCATAATGGGCTTCCGATTATTATATTTCTCCGGATCTTCAAAGCCTACTGCTATCTCTGAACTAGTCTAGGCCCTCCGGAGAAAGCAGCTCTGACCAAACCAGACTGAACTAAACGCAGACGGACGAACCTTTGTCCGTCCACGCAAAATCCAGTCAAAGGCATCAAATCTGTGCAGAAAACGTAGATGGACACTGATCTAGCCATTAATCCGGCTTAGATCAGCATAGACAGGACGGAGGTCGGATAAACGTCCGACCGGTTTTGCGCAAACCGTCACCAAAATCGACGGTTTGCGCGAAACCGCAGAATGTGGGGTAACAGCATTCTCCTTGGTCCTCTGTATTAGGAGACTCATCTAGCACAAATGAGACTGGGCAGAACCAGCCGGAACATTAACGGAACCCGGACAAACCTTCGTCCAATTTTGCGCACATATGTCCCCTAACCTCTCACTCTGCGCGAAACTACAGGATGTGGGGTAAATCTGCATTCTCTGCAGTCCCCTTTCTACATCAGGACTGCAGAGCATGCGTGACTTGGTCTCCCATATAAGACCAAGCCAAACCAGCTCCGACAAGACGGAGCGCGGATAAACCTCCGTCCGGTTTTGCGCAAACCAGTCGGTGCAACTGTGTGTTTGCGCGGAACCATAGAGTGTGGGGTAATACCGTGTGAGAACTTCCACCAGCACGTACTCTACCCATCCCTTGGATTAGGAGAGACTATATGAGACGGACCTAAACTAGACTAGACGGACAGAACGGAGCCTAGGCAGGCGTTTGTCTGATTTCGCGCTTACCTACTCGCAAACCCGTTACTCTGTGCGAAAACGTAGACCGTGGAGGTTACCCATGGGGGTAATTTCTCACATACTCTACGATCCTATGCATCAGGGGACACTTCCAACCCAACCCAAACCAGACGAACGCAAACGAGCTCCGAATAAACAGAACGCAGACGGATGAACCTTCGTCCGCTTTGCGCAAATCCGTCTCTGAGATTGCAGGTTTGCGCCAAAATGCAGCTATCCCATCCTACCCCTTACATCCCCCTCCCCCTCCTAACTCGTCCCTACCCGCCCCTCCTTACTGCCTCACGCACCACCCACCGCAGCTACTACCTCAGTCCCCTCCCTAGAAAAAAGCATGTATAAATTTAAATCCTAACCCCCACCCAGAGATATCAATTCCAAAAAAAAAAACGCACAACACACCTACATACATACCCCTCCAATCACAGGACCTGGGCCGCATGGTATGCAACCCTGTCTTGGCCAGACTGGTCAGGGGTCAGCGTGTCAGGGGGGAATCACAGATCACAGTATCACAATCAAAGAGCAAAGTTTTGCAAGAGGGAATCTTCTTCTATTCCCGCCATCCCCCGGTTCACTCTTTTATCTAATCGAATATCATGCCAACATCATCTCCCCCTATCCCCATGCCCAGGCTACACCATCCAGCCGGCAGCACATCGTTCATATACCCGGCCGACATCTATTAAACACCCCTCACCCCATCCTACCACCACCCCATCCCTCCTTACATTCCCCAGTCCCCCAAATCAAAACACAAAACACCCCCAATGCGCCAGCCTACCCCACAAATATACAAGTAACAAAAAAGGAATCCCTGAAAAGGTCGTCGTATCGGGAGGGCATCCATCCATCAGCCGTCCCTCGCTGCACGCTCAAAAAACCGCGTCTTTGCTCCCCCCCCCCAAAAGTCCCAAAAAAATACATCAAAGAAAAAGGTTGCAAAGTGTTCAATCGTCACCCCCCACCTCACTACTCCATCCCCTTCCCCTTCCCAGGCGTATCAGTCTTAGCAGGCGTCCCCGGCACCTCCGGCGTATAAAAAGCAGCCTGCTTGAACCCCCCCATCCCCTCATCCTCATCCACATCCTCCACCACCGGCAACGGGGTCCTCACCCCCTCTTCTTCGGAGAGCATGCTCACAGCCGCATCGCTATCGCTCGCCATACCGCCCTCTCCCAATTCAAGCGTCGCCGCGTGGGCAGAGAGGCGATTATGCAACTCCCTAAAGCTTCTTGCGGCGAGGGTATTCGTACTCGCCTCCGAACCACGATGATCCACACCACCGCGGTCACCACCACGCACCTCCCCCTCCCTCTCCACACTCGATCCCCTCTCCTGCGCCTGCGCCGCCTTCTTCAACCTCATCCTCTCCTCGGCAGACATATTCGCCAACGCATCCCCAAACGTAATAACACTAGCCTTCTTCCCATGAATGACAAAGCTGCCCGTCCCCCTCGCCAAATGATCATCCCTCACCACCTCCTCCCCCTCCTTCGCCGCCGAGGACGAAGAGTCCTTGCCCTTCCGACTACGGTGCTGGGTAGGGACGTGCGCGTCGCGGAGGGTGCGGTGGATGCTGCGACGGATTTTGCCGCGTTCGAGTTTCTCTTTCTCTTTCTCTTTCTCGGTGGAGTCGGAGGGGCGGGATGAGGCGTCGTCGGTGGTGGCGGTGGTGGGGGGTTCTTCGGCGATGGAGTCGGATGCTAGGGTTGTGTCGATGAGGCCCGCTTGTTCCAAGGCGATGTTCTCGCCGGCGTCTTCATGGGGGGAGGAGACGGAACGTTGTGGGTCTGCGGAGGTGGTGGGGGTCATGCGGGGGTATGAGGATGTGTGGGATAGTACTGGGCTCCTTGGTTGTGCGCCAACACCGGGGGAGGGCTGTTTCCTTGGCCCGTCGAATTTCAGAGGTGGGAGTTCCCATGATGCTTGTGCTTTGTGGAAAGTTGAAGCACTCTGTGCGGCTGAGGGACTGGTGAAGAAATTGTCGATGTCGAAATCACTCGGTGATGCCTGTGGTATCGGAGTTGGGTGCTGAGATTGCAAGCTCTGTTGAGGAGAGAGAGCAGCGCTGTTCCTGGAACTCACTGCGGCGAGACTGTCGCGGTCGTTTTGTTTGGCCAAGGATTCCCCCGAGGGGTTGGAAGTAGGGAGTAGCGGCTCGGGCTTTTCACCTTCCCCGGTCTTCACTTCTTCATCCAAGTCCATGGACAGGATATCCCTGTGACATCTCAACCTCCAGATCTCCATACGGACCCATCTCAGCTTTGCCGACATGCGGCCAGCTGCCAATACTACTTGTTCCCTCGTCTTTGGCTGGATAGGTGCGAGGATTTGCAAGTGACGAGCATTCCGAAGCTGAGCGTCTAATTGCTTAGTAGCAATAGCTAGCTTCTCCTCTGCCTCTGTAATCTTCTGCATCATGATCTCTCTCCTTGCGGCCAGGATATCTTGGGCCATCTGGAGATCGATCTTTCCGCTGATAATCTGAACTTCACCAGTAGGAGTCTGCACAGAGCGTCCGGAGTTCGCGCTGCCCAGCCTCCTAATCCCACGAGTGCGCTGCCCCTCGTAATTCCCACCAACCACGCCACGCATTCTCACGCCGGCTGTGCGGAATGCTGCAGCGTAGTTGAGCTTCGCGAGCCAGTCATTCATTTCATCTTCGTTGTCAGCCAGGAATGTTTCCTCGAAGCCTCCATGGCGAACGAAGAGGAACGCGTTCTTGTGCTTCTTATACGTAGAATCGAGCAGGGCGACAGCATCATCCGTTGACATCAATGCATCCGGTTTGAAAGATTCAATCGGGGGCTTGAAGGTGACTGGAATGCCATCATTACCCTGCTTGACGTGGTGGTCGTGTTGATGTATCAAGCTCTTGATCCAGGCGGTATTGCGGAAGAAGTATAACTGCGCTCCTGTGAGAATTGCGCCCCATTCCTGCCAAGGGGACCTCGTCTTCTTCTTCTTCGGGTCCTTGCGCCATAGTAAGCCGACCTTGGTGATCTTGATATCGACGATTCCAGGGTGTGCTTCCTCGGGGTTCATGACCGTCTTGTCAGACATGAAGGCATCGGGGCGTGACCTTGCAGATATAATCTGCAAAACACCTGTTCTGAAGAATGTTCGCTGCAAGTCGTCCAGATTGAGGGACAGCGCAGTACCAATGTAGCTGTAGTGCTCCTCCAAGTTCATTGCGTCCTTCAGATTGGGCCGTAACGAGTCAAGCTTGCTGTCGATAATGAGAGTATACGGATCAACAGGCTCTTTCGAAGGGCGCTTCATCGGATCCATACTCGACCGAGGGAATAAACTCTTCTTCTTCGACTTGTGCTGGACAATTCGCTCGCCATTGATATCAAGATCATCCTCCACATGGATGAAGGGCGTGTACGAAATATTGTCATAGAAACACTCCAAGATCTCGTCAAAGATTCCCTCTCCCTGGGTGTTCCTGCAATAATCCTGCTTCTGCATCTTATTCTTGTTATTCTTGTTGAAGACATCGGTATGCAGGATCAGCAACGAAAATGCAATGAAATATGCCTGCTCGGGCGAAGCGTAGATGCCTGGGTTGCACTCGTGGTACCGGTGTGCAAACGATTGCAGACACCTGTCGATATGCTGCGTCTCCTTGGGCAGTTCGACTTCCATAAGAAGCTTGCGGAGGGCCATATCCATAGGATCGCCGAAGAACCCAAACCCACGCATGTAGCTCCGGAGAACCTGCTGTGAGAACGTATCGCTGCCTTTCGACAAGACACTTGCAACGGCGCCTCGACTTACAGCCTCTTCCAGCCGCAGGAGGTACTTTGCCGGGCTATCATCCTGATGTCTCTCGGGTATGATAATTGGCTCTCTTGTGATTTGGATCGAGTTGTTTTTCGAGGTAGCAGAGAGTGGACTTGCTTGTCCGGAAGCGTGAGGCATTGGGTCAGGGCGAAGGCGATGGGTCAAGTTGAATATATCCCCGAAGCTCTTCCTGCCCGTCGACGTCGACGTGCGGCTGGACGGAAGAGGCGGAGTATCTAATGGCTCATCGGCCTGCCCGTTTCTCAAAGATGTCAGGGTAGAAGACCTGCCCCTGAGGCCACGTCGAGTAGGGGAAGATTTGTTGGAGGCCGTCGAGTCGCGGCGGATCAATGGTGACCCAGGGGCTGCAAACAGCATAGACGCCTTAGCGATGGCAGAATGGGTGTGAACGGCACCCTCGTTATCATCGGCGCCTTGCGGTAGGCGTAGAGTTTGTGCGGCGCCGGAATCCGTGCTCGCTCTACTAGTGTTGTTGCCAGACTTATCCGGTACGGAAAGCGAGTTAGGCTGGTCATTATGAACTACCTTTGGCGGTAAGGGAAAGAGCGGCTGAGGCTTCTTTCGCCGCGGTAGTCTAAAGAACGTAGTTGTAGTATGTGTTGTCTGTATCGTAGTAGTCGTTTGCGCATACACATGGTTGTCCGCAGAGCTCCCATCAGACCTCGAGGATTCGGACAGCCGATTGACTGGCAATGCAAGCGTCGATCCGGCATCATCTCCATAAGGCGGAGGCATCGCACCTGGGACCTGAGAGCTGTGACGTACAGGTTCATCGAATGTAACACGGGATGACGAGTTCCCTTCGGATAGCGTCTTCCTCCTCTCCTTCTTCGACGCATTTATCAGTTCGTCAAACGCGGATGGCTTAGGGTCCGATGGTTTTATGCCAGGTAGCTTGAGCTTCGACTTTTTCTTCTGTGTGGTGTTTACGTCGAGAGTCGGTGCTGTTGTGATGATCTCGGGAGCTGCCGAGGGAACGTCAGTAACTTCTCTACATGCTTGGAGCCCAATCGGGATCAATGTCAATCAATTGAAGGAGGTGGAACCTACGTCTCGGCATAGGAGGGGCAGCATCAGCCTCAGCCTGCTGCCTCGCCCTCGTCGACAGCTGCGAATCCGACGCATGCCTAAACTTCATCATCGAGAACCGTCGCGACTGCTTGGGCGTCGCATCCTGCACCGGCGGTGACACCGGCCTATCCTCCGGGACCGTCTTCTCCGTCGAGGAAAACGCAATGGCCGGCGCGGACGACTGCGGCGTCAGCTCGAGCGAATCTGACGCGCCAGCGTCCCTGCGCGGCAACTGCTCGCTGAGTCTCCCCGCCCTGGTATCCGCAGCTCCTGTCGGGCTGGGGAAAAGCAGCGAGTGGCGGCGATTGAGATCGGTCTCGCTGGCCTGGCCGCGTCGACGCAGCAGGCCTTGGATGATGGGCATCTCGAGGGGGGTGGTGGGAGCGCGGGAGCGAAAGGGGATTATCGGATCATGACAGGCCACTTATTTTCGTGTCTTCTTCTTCCGTTTTCAGGTCGAGGCAGGTTCTTGGGGATTCGGGATAGAGGTTGCGGGGAAGGATTGGGAGAGTAAAATAGGAGTTTATCCGTTCGTGTGTGGTTCGAGAGGCTGGGTTCAAGGAGGGAATTTGGTTGGTGTAGTGTACAGGGTCGTCGTCGCACAGACGTCAGGGTAGCTCAGTGAGAGTTATTGTCCAAGCTGTGTGTGGTGTGTGATACAAGGGGTTTTTTGGAAAGTGATCAATAATACAAAAGACAAGAGGAAGCTGTTTCAAACGATTGATTGACACCGAGGTCGTAAGAAAGAGAGTAGAGAGTGTTTTCGCAGAAGTAAATACAGGAGATACAGCGAGAGATAGTTAGTTAGAGTGTACAGAAATAGAGGATCGTATAGGAAGCTGCTAAAGGCAATAGCGCGTGTCTCTTCTGTGTTGATCAGGGTGTCGTTGCGTGGGATTTAATGTGGAGGGTACTTGTAAACAGACCAATGCTACTGCGGGGGATGAAGTACTCCTTTGCTTATTCCCACTCTCAGCTCCGCTCAGCTCCGCTCAGCTATCCCCTCAGTGGCTTCTCCTTTCCTCCTTTCCTCCTATCATCGCAAGCGGACAACAAGCGGAGAACGTGGTGTTCTGATGTGAGGTCAGAGACAGGAGACGGCGTCTTCTAATCAGCTAATAATAAATTCATACCTACATACAGTACAGTCAGTGCAGTAGAAGTGCAGTAGAAGCGCAGTAAGAGAAGAGTGGCTGTAAGAATAGCTACGAATAAGAACTTATCTCTCTAAATATCAAAAATTAAAAATACCAATAAGGATCAAAATACACCAAAATACATCAAAATACATCAAAATACCCTTCTATCTTCTATTTCTAGAAAAATCCCAGCTGTCGCAAATGCCCCAATGTATCCTGCACCCAATTAATCTTCGCGTCTCTGCCTGGGCCCCGTCTCCCCGGTTGCAGTTGATTTGTGAATTCCTCAGGCAATGAGGCAGTGTAGTACATACCCTATACTTACAAACACACCTCCATCGCTCTTCCCACACAAGTACCCCCAAGTTACCCCGCCAGTAGCGTACCCAATCGGAAGCATCGTCATCGTCCAATTCAACCACCACCACAACCTCAACTACAGAGAGCAAAGAAGTCGCTGCCTTAGACCCCCAAAAACAATCCCAACAATCATCCTCTCACCACAACACCCTGATCCAACCCTCAACCCGCATCCAGAAAGGGTCACCCATCCCCATTGCGTCTCCACCGCTTGGAGACAACCACCACGCAGCAATGCGACTCCTCCAGGAGCCCACCTCCCTCCTCCCCCTCCTCCTCCTCTCCACCCTTGCCCCCGTCCCCACCATAGCCGTCCCATGGGCTACAGGCGACAGCACACAATCCCTCAGCGGGCGCGACGCCAAAGCAGCAGCAGCGCCGTACCACCGCTCCCACAGCGTGTTCCCGCAGCTGACATGGCTGCGCGACACGGCGATCGAGAAGATCTTTGGTGGTGGCGGGAACGCGAAGACTGATACGACGACGACGAAGCAGGAGAATGGACAGACCGCGGCGACGAGCCAGCGGAGGCCGTTGAGCGCGCAGCTGCCGGCGACGTTGTTAGCGAAGTATGGGGGGGATGTGGTGCTGAGGTTTAATATCACGACGGAGGAGGAGGAGGCGGCGTTGGCGGAGGCGGCGGATACGCTGTTTCTTGATGTGTGGGAGTTTACGAATAACTGGGCGGATATAAGGTTGGCAGAGGACGATGTGAGTATATCGAGATAGTCCCCTTCTCAAAGAACATACATACTAACCACCACCCCCCCAGGTCCCGTCCCTCCTCGGTCTCCTCCCCAAATCCCTCCACAACGCCTACTCCAACCTCATGCCCGACCTCGCGCAATCAATCTACCAATCCTACCCCTCCCTCGCCTTCTCCTCCCCCCCCTTTCCCCCCTCCGCCGGACACTCCTCCTTCACCCCCTCCGTCCACAAAACCGACGGCGCAACCGACAACATCTTCTTCCGCGACTACCAGCCCCTCTCCGTCATCATCCCCTGGATGCGCCTCATGGCATCCATGTTCACCACCCACGTCACTATGACCTCCATCGGGCTCTCCTACGAAGGGCGTTCCATCCCCGCCCTCCGCGTCGGCGTGCACCCCACCCCCGCCTCCCCGTCCTCAAAACGGAAAACCATCATCATCGCCGGCGGCCTGCACGCTCGCGAATGGATCTCCACATCCTCCGTAACCTACATCGCCTGGTCCCTCATCACAGCCTACGGAAAGTCCCCCGCGATCACGAAATTGATCCACGAGTTCGACTGGGTCTTCATCCCAACGCTGAATCCGGACGGGTACGTGTACACCTGGGAAACCGACCGATTATGGCGCAAGAACCGCCAGCAGACCCACCTTCGCTTCTGCCGCGGCCTCGATCTCGACCGCTCATTCGGATACCGCTGGGCCGGGTCGGCATTCCAAGCTAACCCCTGCTCGGAGAGTTATCCGGGGTCTGCGCCGTTTCAGGCGGTGGAATCGCATCGTTTGGCGGAGTGGGCGAAGACGCAGGTGGAGGAGAATAATGCCAAGTTTGTGGGATTGTTGGATTTGCACTCGTATAGCCAGCAGGTCTTGTATCCGTATAGTTATTCGTGCGAGGCGGAGCCGCCGACGATTGAGAATCTGGAGGAGCTGGGGATGGGGTTGGCGAAGGCGATTAGGATCTCGAGTGGGGAGTTTTATCAGGTTACGTCGGCGTGTGAGGGGAGTGTTGTTACGAGGAAGGGGAAGGGGAAGGGCAAGAGCGCAAAGACCACCGCGAAGTCCGCGAAGTCGAAGAAGAAGGATGAAGAGAAGGAGGGCCCGATGCAGCAGATCCGCATGGAGAGCGGAGGGGGGTCGGCGATCGATTGGTTCTATCATGAGATGAAGGTGCGGTATACGTATCAGCTTAAGCTGAGGGATACGGGGAGTTATGGGTTTTTACTCCCGGGAGAACATATTGTGCCGACGGGCGAGGAGTCGTTTAATGCGGTGAAGTATTTTGGGGATTTCTTGATGGGGAATAAGGGGATTGAGAGTGTGGATGGGGTGGAGGTGGAGGGAGAGGTAGAGGTGGGAGGTGAGGGGAGTGAGGAGGAGGGAGTTGAGAATGTGGCAGTGGAAGAGGGTGAGGGTGAAGATGTGGATAAGGATGATGATGAGGAGTGGGTGGTGGTTGAGAACGAGGACACTGAGAGAGCAGCGATTGATATGTCCGAGCTACGGCGGAGGAGGAGATGAGGTAGAATGTGTAAAATTGAACCTTTTGGACAGACATGTGATGGATTACTAGGAGTTTGGCAGGGTTTGGCAGGATTTGGCGTCTGGGAGAGTATTGGGACGCGAGGAGGGAAATTTGCCATACGATACTGATACGATACGGTGCGGATAGTTCGGGATTGGATAGCTGGGGTTGGCTGTTTTCGGGAAGGAGTGTATGATGTTTTGAGGGTATGTGGTGGCTATATGAAGTAATCTATGTATGTGTGTGGAGGAGATAGTGGTGGTGAAGATAGCACTGGAGATAGGGAAGAACAAATCATACTGTACTTACTTTTTTCTCTGATAAGCCCAATGGCAATGCGACGGGCCTTCTCACTATAATCTTACCCGTATAGCCGTATACTATACGGGCATCCAGTCTACCAACTCCGAACAAACAACCAATTACATAAGACCTTATGTAACACACCCTCGTACCTCCCACTACCATCCCACATTGCTAGAGGTGCTTTTAGAGGGAGCTAGTATAAAAACAGCATACAAGCAAGTATACTCCTCCACACGTGACCACAATAAGTGGCTCTGGGCACGTGATATGTGTCATGTATTGCATGGATGGCAGGCCAGGGGTGGATCGATGGATCGCGAGGGGAGGGGACTAGTACGAATAGGGGATGGTGTACTGCGGAATTGAGAGGGGACTCACCCGCAGCTACGGTATTTTGTGTGGGTTGGTGGGTAGGGGAGGGTAGGGGAGGAGTAGGGAGGGCCAATAGTGACCACTACCGCAGTGCAGAGGTTGCGTGCTTTGGAGGTGTACCCATACTATAACGGATATTAACTGAGTCTACCATACAAAAGTCTACTTTCTACTAATTATATTCTCCATATATACAGAACCTTCAACTGTGGCGATTTTTGAAGGTCTAATTCTTCTTCTGTCTGCTACTTACTATTGTATTATCACGAATACAATAGTCTGCTTACTACTTACTATACTTACTTACTACACCATCACCTCATCCATCACCGCCACCCCCAGTACCCAGCACCCAGCACAGCACGACTCATCTGCGCCAAGAGATACAAGGGATACGACCCATCGAAACTTTCCCATAGCCTGCAATCTGCTAGATTACTACTATAACCACCAAAACCGTCCCATACCGTCCATACTATACCTGCATGTCGACATCGCACGCCATCCCGCACCCTCTTCACACCAACCCCAACCGCCACTCCTCTCATACCAACACCACACTCACTCACTATACAAAATAATACACCGACATTACCGCATAACACACGGACAAGCAACAAAACACCGCAACCAAGCACAGATCATCAAACCCGTGGCGACATCGGGGCGCGCCATTTCCCCATCTGAGTACGCCAGAACGCCATCCAAGCCCACCAGCCCGCTATATCCCCCCCCCCCTTCGTCCGCTTCCTTCTCTCCATGTCCGATCTGCCACGTCCTGCACGTGAGAACAAACTTCGCCGCGGAGACCGAGACCACGAGGGACCAGCTGAGTCTGAACTGTCCTGTGCGACTTAACTACTTGGCCATTCTCTCTCCTCCTCACCTCTCCTCTCTCTCGACAAACACAACACACACAATGCCAACCACCACCATGGCCACCGCGCCGGCCTCGCCTCCCCCCTCCACCTCAACAAACAACGGAACCCCCTTCCCCTCGCCGCCCACCCACGACAGCTGCAACGACAGCTACGAGAAGCACTCGCACGACGACGACGACGACACCCTCACGCGCATGCGCATGGCGAGCTCGAACAAGATCGCCGGGCGCGCCATTGCGCCTTTCCTCGCAAGGCATATCCCCGCGGCCTATGCGCCTACGGGGACGGCGAGGGAGGGCGTGGAGAGGGAGAAGGATCCGAGTACCAAGTTTTGCTATAGGCATCGGCCGGATTTGAAGTGTAGGCGGACGGCGGATGAGCCGTCGATGGATCATTTGCAGAGGGTGAGTTTTTCTTGCGGTTATCCTCGGGGGAATTGGGGGGGAGAGAATTTTAGATACGAATGGAATGGCTGACTTGTGACGATAACAGGAACTCGAGAGCTTGTCGCAGGCCGACCAGCAAGGCATATCACACGTCTGGTCGCTCTTCTCCGCGGCCCCCGCAAAACACCGAAACCTCATGCTCCAAGGCATCCTCACCCAATGCTGCTTCCCGCAGCTCTCCTACCTCTCCACCGCCGTCCGCGACCTCATCCGCATCGACTTCATCACCGCGCTCCCCTCCGAAATCTCCTTCAAAATCCTGTGCTACCTCGACACCACCTCCCTCTGCAAAGCAGCACAGGTCAACCAGCGCTGGCGCAGCCTAGCGGATGACGATGTCGTCTGGCATAAGATGTGTGAGCAGCATATCGATCGCAAGTGCGTGAAGTGCGGGTGGGGACTCCCCTTGCTCGAGAGGAAGAGGTTGAGGGATTGGAAGAGGCAGCAGCAGCTGCGCGCGACGGGGAGGGGACTGAATGAGTGGTCCCCGCAACTCACGCCGCAGCCTGAGGCGGGGGATGGGGCGGCGATACCGAGGCTGGAGTTGGTCGCCGCGGTGGATCAGAATGGGAGGAAGCGCTCGGCTTCTTCGTCGCTGTCGGAAGATGGAAATGCCTCGCCTACTCAGATTAAGAAACTCCGCACGCTCGAACCCGTAGCTAATGGCGCGGTTGTATCGCGTACTAGCACACCCCGCTTCAGGCCGTGGAAGGAGGTATACAAAGACCGCTTTAAGGTCGGGACAAATTGGAAGTACGGGCGGTGTACAACCAAGGTGTTTAGGGGGCACACGAACGGCGTTATGTGTCTCCAGTTCGACGACTCTATCCTCGCGACAGGGTCATACGATACTACCATCAAGATCTGGGATATCGATACCGGCAAGGAACTCCGCACCCTCCGCGGCCACACCTCAGGGATCAGGTCTCTGCAATTCGACGACACGAAACTTATTAGTGGCTCCCTAGATCGCACGCTCAAGGTATGGAATTGGCGCACGGGAGAGTGCATGTCCACCTACCAGGGCCACACGGGTGGCATAATGTCCCTCCACTTCGACGGCAACCTCCTCGCCAGCGGCTCCGTCGATAAATCAGTCAAGATCTGGAATTTCTCAGATAAATCCACATTCTCCCTCAAGGGCCACCGCGACTGGGTCAACGCAGTGAAAGTCGATTCCGCATCCCGCACCGTCTTTTCCGCTTCAGACGACTGCAGTATCAAACTATGGGACCTCGATTCCAAAGTCTGCATCAAGACTTTTGAAGGGCATGTTGGACAGGTCCAGCAGGTTTTACCGCTGCCGGCGGATTATGAACCGGAGCTTGATGATACCACCCCCCCGACGGCAGATGACGCATCTTCCAACGCCTCATCAGCTGAACTTCCCAACCCCTCCGACCTCCGCTCCACCTTCGGCCCCGCCTTCACCGCCGGCTGCGCCACGAACCGCCCCCTGCCACCACGGTACATGTTAACCGGCGCGCTGGACTCCACCGTCCGCCTCTGGGACGTCTACACGGGCCGCTGTCTTAAAACATTCTTCGGCCACGTCGAGGGGGTTTGGGCGCTGGCGGGGGATACACTTAGAGTTGTGTCAGGGGCGGAGGATCGCATGGTGAAAGTGTGGGATGCGAGGACGGGGAGGTGCGAGAGGACGTTTATGGGACATGCGGGGCCGGTTACGTGTATTGGCTTGAGTGATAGTAGGATTTGTACGGGGAGTGAGGATTGTGAGGTTAGGTTGCAGAGTTTTAAGGGGGATTTGGGGGAGGGGGAGGGGGGGGTGTAGGTGGAGCGTTTGGGGGGGGGGGGAAGGGTGGTTGATGTTTTGTTTTGAGCGGGATGCTTTGTTCTGGGGGAGGATGGAAGGATACCACGGCATTGAATCGGATGATTTGGATTGGAATCGAGGCTCAACGACAGCCCCACGGCTGGATAATCAAATGGCGTTATTTAGGGTTTACGTATGGGCGGCGGCGGCGGCGGGATGGCTTTGCGATTTGCTCATCTTAGCGGCTTCTTTATATTTTTGTTATATGGGGCCAGTAGGGGAAAACGGCGGATACCCTGGAAAATGGGAGTAAAAAGGGGGGAGGGCGGGGGAGATTAGATTCAGTCATGTGTTGTACGATATGAATATGAATATGAATACCAATATCATGAATGAGACGAGAGGGAATAGTGATGTGATGTGACAGGTGTATGTGATAGGTGTATGTTAGGAATCTTGGTGGAATGACAGGTAGGATGCGAGGTGGTGTGTGAGAGTAGTGATATCTTCTGTACAGTATTGATACTGCGGATTGTGCCCAGGAGAGAGAACGAGGGTGGAGAGGGGACGACGAGGGTATATACATCCAAAAACGCGTAGACAGCCCCAACACAACCTAGCTAACATTCGTATGTATCATTTATCTATGGGCGAAAGATTTATATACCCTACTGCCTTCTCTTTTTAGCATCCTAACAAGGTTTATATAAACTTACTTCTATATTATAGATAACATAGTTAAAGTAGCTATAGAGAATAGGGGCAATAGAAAGGAGGTGATAACACTACTTCTTAACTAACGAGGAGATGATGTCTATATTACAGATAATGTAGTTAAAGCAGCTATAGGGAATAGGGGCTGTAGAAAAGAGGTGATGACACTACTTCTCGACTGACAAGGAGATGATGTCAATATTACAGATGACGTGGTTAAGGAAGCTGTAGGGAATGAGGGTAGTGGTAAGGAGGTGATGACACTACTTCTCGACTAACGAGGAGATAATGTCTATATTACAGATGACGTGGTCAAAGCAGCTGTGACGAGTGGACAAGAGGAGGTTTTAAAGCTGATTAACACGCGACTAAATATTCTTATATCGAAGCAGTTGTTTACACTCGCTCAGTTTTATAATTTGGCAAAAGCTGGAGATGTGAAAACGATCCGAAGTTTGTTACGGCAAGGCATTGACCCAGATCTCAAAAATCCTAGGAATGTATCTCCTCTTTGGAGAGCTGCGCAATCCGCGAGTCTTACAGTAGACAAACTACTTCTCGATACTCAAGCTGTCGATCTTAATGCGCAAAGCACAGCTGGACGATCTCCTATATTTTGGGCAGCAGCAAATGGTCACACACGCATCGTTGATTTGTTGTTAGATAGAGGGGCAAATCCTAGTCTTCCTGATGAAAATGGGCGAATACCCCTTTCAGTGGCCAAGGAGAACGGACATGACGACATTGTAGATGTGTTACGGGCCATGCTGTAGAGCTGACCCACGTGATGGAACAACAGGAATAGTATTAACAGTATGTTGTTCTATGAGTTCCTGTGGTTCCCAGTGTCACAAAGCACCTGTATACACAGTCATTACAGTAGTAGATAGGAGCTGCCTGCTCAGTTCAATATAATACCTTTACTCATACTATAAATGTGCATATTTGAGAAGCCTTCGTCACTCTCCTATATTTCTTTCTCAGGGTGAGCGATACTCGTTGAGTCCATTGATGGGGACTCGTAATTATTGAAACAGGTAACATGTTCAATTCTTAAAGCCTCTTGTTCCTCTCCGTGGATACTCTTCGATATAATCTCTAGCAAGCCAATCACCGCATCCAGCGTAATCGCATGTGTCACACCATACACATGAAGAGTTTGCTCGGTTGCTGTGCATATTCGACTGTTGTGGAAGATCTCCCGGTTTTTCAAGTCTAGGATAAAAGGATGTTTCTGGAGAATAATGTTTAGCTCCAAAGATAGATGCAAATCAACTATGATACAGTGCCGCGCTTCGTGGTTGAAAGTGAGAGGAATTAACACTTCCCTTGGTCTCCCAGCCAGATTGATATCTATGACAAGAGGCATAACGACGACTGGAGAGCGAATATACGAATGGTGCCCCAGACGTTGAAGTCCGATCGGCCTTCAGGTACGACAGGGGTGGAGCGCGTTGGCCAGAGTTTCCAAATAAGGACAAGTGACCTACTACCACTTTAAGCGCTATGGTTGCGGGGGATCAGCGAGTAAACGTGGAAATAGAGGTAACAACCGCAACAAATAAGAATACCGCTTCACGAATGGAGAGGAACGCCAAGCTTGGGGCACGCCAAGTATCCAAGCTTGTGACATGCACAGATGATACTCAAATCGTCGACTGAAAAGCGAAATCTGCATTCTGAAGGTTGTCACGCAAGCCCCTCTCTCGAGCACAGTGATTCCAATCAATTGTTGCAATATTACCTGAGTGTCGGGGATGTCCACCAAAATTGAGTGGGTATCCTAGCCGAGCAGAATTATCATTTAGCACGCATCAAGTGAAGCAGCCGCAATAAAGGCTTCAGCATAAAGTACAGTATATAGAACAGTAACAATTAAATCTATCAACTAATCTATAATATCTACTTGGCCTGTTCTACTATTTGTAAGACCCCGTGAGGTCCAGCTTCACCAGTGAAGGTGAAGCCAGAATGTGGCTTCGGTGGCTGTCTCTGAGCATCTGGAAGAAATACTTGCGAGTGAACTTCACGTAGGGCAGCGGAAATATGATATTCCGAGATTCGTGGTTTTTAACCCGAACACACTATGACAGAATCTGTTTGTTGCCTAGCGCTAACGTCTCCAATAATTGGTCTTCATTGATGCCTCCCTTCCCTGTGTAACCACTTCCAGAGGTCGTTTGGGCAGGACACAAGACCCAAGTTTCGTGCAAAGTAGCCAACCAAATCTCGTTTTCACGAAGTCGCATTGCTGCTCACAGACACCAGAAGTAGCCTCAGGGAGCCGCTGTCGTGATCGCAGAGTCTAGGGCGTGGCCTTTCGAGAGGCCCGAGGCGGATTTCGGAAATCGACCAACCGTTTCGCGTTTTTTAAGCGCTCTTAGGCCGCTTTAGTGGTCGCCACAAGTAGAGAAGTGTGGGCCTTGAGGCAGTCCAGGTAAAAGCAGCATTGGTCCTAGAGCGGGAACAGGGAAGCGGAAGGCTGACAACAGGGGACGGTTTTGGTAGTGGTCTTGGCGCAAAAGCGATGGCAGCTCAAGGAGAACTAGGCATCCCGTCGGCTCTGCCATACATAACCTTGAGATCGGTGGATTAGTAGTTGGGTGGGTGACCACCAGCGAATACCCACTGTTGTATGTATTTTGTCTTTTTATACTATAGATCTACCTTCTTCTCCTTGGTGGCGTGGCAGGGTTGCCGTGTCCACACTTTTTTCGCCGGGAGGCATGATTTTACAACCGGCCTGAGCCTTAAAAGGGTAGGGGTCTATCAGTACAATTTTAGAGCATTTTCAGAAAAGCCTTCGTACAAACATCGGTTCATGGCAATTATAGCTATTAAAATACTCTATTAATATAGGTCCTTAGTTTTGTTATAAACTTAACATTAATAGGGAGAATAGCAAGCCTAAGCTATAAGTCTAGCTAAATAACATAGTTAGATATAGCTTATTACATGCTAAGTATACTCACGAATGTAACTAGCTAACTTCTCTCTACACTTAGTTTGCCATTTAGACCTTTCCTAGTTGCTAGTTTAAGGGCGATTCATTTTAATTACATATTTCACTACTACTATAGCGCCGTGTTATATTTACGTAGTCGTGAGTTGTTTACTTACGCGTGGTAGCACTTTACAGCAGAAAACTAAGGTGTGTGGTTAACAACTAGTATCACTAGGTAGTGGCTAACAGATCGGTGCTCTTTCAAATTGTAAGCCACTATCTCCGTTAGCTTATTACCACTCTTACTCACAGGCATAGGTCGCAACTGCATCTGAGACGTAATCTGAGTTTTAGAGACACCACGCCAACGTCATCAATGACTTCCTTTGCCCACGTACGATAAAGGATTAGGAATAATCCAGTGAGGATAATTAGGTAGAGGACCATTGGATGGGGAATCATTAGGTGGAGGGTCATCGAAATTCAAGGTAATTAAAACACGATCGATGAATCAACTCACAATTATAACCGAAGACAACCAAAGTCGTTGTTGTCGGAACAATCAACCTTGGATGGTATCTGATATCTTCCTCGCAATTCAAGCGGCTGATTAAAGAGATAAACGAGCAAGCTTTTTCTCAGGCTCCGTAATTTCCCCCTCGTACATATCCTACCCGCGGCCAGAAGTTCTCCGCGTCATCAGCCTTCTCGCCAACCCAAGCGGCCTGACGAGGTTTAAAGGCTCCATGGTCATCTGGGTTTTCATGGTTCGCAAGAAAGCGTTGCGGGATCTTGTCATCTCCAGCCGCTTGCTTGTCCCAGTCAACGTCTTCCAGCGACATAGATCCGTTCATCCACAAGAGCCCAAACCCAGACTCGCACTACTCAGGGTTCTACAGTGTCTCGGAGTTCACCAACTGATACTGAGTTGATTCAAAGCGTGGATTACCAAGAATATCATTTTCAGGGAACCTACTGAAAGGGCGATGTTAGGGTGAAGCGAGGGTGGCAGGATGACTTCTCTCGACCAAAATATTCGCCATTCTTCACCATGTCCTCTTCTCAATCAATACAATCGCAAGCAGTGTCATCCTAATATTACCAGTCATTATTCTCAGCACCCCCATCATCCCACCCGTTATGCAGCCACTACCCTCATAATCACCTGAATCTTCAGCCCCGTAACAAGCGGCGTCGTTCCCCACAACGGCGCTAATGCCGTGTCTGCTCCATGAGGCTTGTATCTCACCCGTTGATTCCTCTAACCTTTTCTTTCACTTTGAACTCTGAAGCAAACAATCGGATTAAAGTCGACTTGCTACATAGAATACAAGCTGCCAGCTCTCCCAAGTTCATTCCGACCATCGATCGATCTCCAGGTATCAATTACAGGTCTTGCTGGAAAACCATACAAAAGATCAGTGCACCCACAGCCTTCTCATGCAAACAGGACGTATCACCCGGGAAACAAAAATTCGTTTTTTTATAGGGCTCGTCGCCTGTGACACTTTCCCTGGTCTGACAAATGGAGAGTAATTATCCTTCTTTTCATTGTTACCGATTGGCTTTTATTTGTCTTTTGAGTAGCATCTCGTTCTCATCCCTCCTGGCCTTTTCTACCTGCTTCCTGCCCTTGATAATTACTGCTTTCTGCTGTACCCTAGACAAGTGCATGAGACTCATTCGATCCCCAGCCCGCAAAGTGGCAAGCTGATTGTGAAAAGTAGCTTCGCGTTTGGCAATCTTATTCGATTCAGACTGCGCAGATTGGCCGAGAGTTGTATCAGACTGAGGCCTAGATATATCGAGGGCCGTAGATGGACTTGTTGGAGGGAGGCCCCGAACTTTTGTGTAAGTTGTCCGGTGTTGGTGTAGGCGCCGTTTGCCTTCCGTTCGATGCGACAAGAGCTTTCCTGATGGCAAACGCATCGATTCTTCGACGACGACACCACTCAAGCCCTCTGGAATCAATTTTATGGACCCGCCATCGCTGTCGTCAGAGGTAGAGTGAAAATCATAGAAGTCCCTGAATTCCGAGTCCTCGCTGAGTATGTCAATCTTGCAATGCCCTTTGCCCATCATGTGCTGCTGCGCAGCTTGAGCACTGCTTCGTTGAGAGCCACAGTACAGACACTCAAAGTAGACGAATATAAGGAGGTGGAGGTACTCGGCCAAGGTTTCAATATCTACTACCAAATGAGAAGTATGCGGTATGAAAAGACCATGCCTTTTAAGCATGTGCTCGAGGTTCTCATCGAGTTCTATGCTGCTGTGTTTGCAGAATAAACACTGCGTATGGTCAAATTGGATGTCTGACTTCTGTCTGTCCGCGCTGTCATCGTTCACAGATAAAAGAGACAAGCCCTTCTCGATACCCCTAGTAGAATAGTGAGAGTTGGTCGACATCAAGAGAAATTTGAGCTAACTAACGTTACGCCATCCACTTCGTAACATTCTTCGTAGCTCAGGTCTATATTAGCTCCCTTTATCTTGAGGGAATCAAGAGTTCCGAAGCTTGAGCATGGGGACAAATCGCTTTGTGTGTCTGAATTATTGGTCATCTTTGGGGCTTTACCGCCTCTCAAGCTCGTTGTTCTCGCGATGAATGGCTTATTGAGAGGCAGCTGAATGTGCCGTGGTAAGCACGCGATAATGATGTAGATTTGGATACAGTAGAAAAAGGAATATAAACCATGTACTCAATTTAAAGTGGGGAATTGGATTGAACCAGGGGTAAGGCTGTCGGCCGCTGTCTCGGACCATTCCGTGCGTCAGATAAACAGATAAACTTGAAAGAGATCGGCAAGAGATTGGCAAAGCTTAGACATGACTTGCCGCGTCATATTCAGGGTTCATACTCCGCCTCCCGCCTCCCGCCTCCCGCCGCCTCTAAAGCGCCAAGGGGACGTTCTAAGGAACACCGTGATGAAGATACTTTGAACACACTACGAAGCCACTGCACCCTCACTACAAAGACACTACCACCACGCCAATCCCATGCCAGCCGCAACAGGGACAGCCGCTATCCCCCGCTCGGCGCGAGGAAAAGCGCATTAATCCTCATCAACCCTGCTGCGGCCCTGGCTGCGAAGGGAAGGTCCGAGGTCAAAAAACGGCTTTGTATTTTTTCGCTACTGTTCGTACCGTATTGTACTGTACCTTTGGGCTGTGCAGCGCTGTCAAGTGGTACCTGAGCCACATCCAACAACCGTCAAAACAGTTCCCCATCCACCAGTCACCGACCCCCTGCCCCAGTCCCCCCTTCTGTTCTGCCCAATCCCGACATTCATCCGCCCTGGCCCACAGTTCTCCACAAGCCAGTGCAGTACTTGTACTACTGTGCTATACCCAGTGCTGTACCCAGTACTGTCCACAGGCAGATCGATCCTTCCTCTTTCTCGAACAACTGGTTATGGACCTTCTCGATGCAGCACATGTCCATTACTGCGAAGTAATATAACCGAAACGAGAAGTTCATGGCGCCCGTCGTGCCTCATGGTATTTCCAGAAGTTTGTGTTTCGTGGATAGACAATGCCCTGTGCCTTAGCTGCGAGGTAGCGTCCCAGCGAGCCACTGGGAAACGCTGATTTGCGCCCGATTTTCACCCTCTGAGAGGTTCGAGAAGGACTTTCCAAGTTGCGCTTCGGTCAGATTTCGGGGCGTTAAGTAGCCAGTTAAACCAAGTAAAATCAGGTGCAGTGGAAATTACCAGCATGAACACTTTGCAGAATACAAAGCGGCACAGCCGGACAGGAGTTTCGCCCCATGTTTTGCCCACCCACGATCGTATCCACGAAACGCAGCCTGCTGACAAAAAAAGGATTTGTTGATACTTGGTGATACACAATTTTTTGGCTCCGAACTGGCTCCAATGTGCTAATCTCAATATCAAACTGCCTAGGACTGGGAATTTGTAGTCATGAAACCAGCTGTTACAAATCGTAGGTTAACTGCTTAATGAGGGTTTTGGTATTCGGTTCAGAGATCGTTTGATTTGTCACTAACTCTTGTTTCAATTCAGGCGCACGAAGTTGCAATGGTTGCTGGACTTGTCGAGTTCGCAAGAAGAAATGCGATGAGGCCCGGCCTTCCTGCTTTTTATGCATCTCTTTCAGATTGGAATGTCACGGGTATGGGCCGAAGCCCAAGTGGATGGACAATGGAACATTACAGCAAGAGCAAGCTACTAAGATCAAACACATCGTCAGACAGACGAGTAGATCAAAAAGGCGAAGATGGACGGTAAATTCAGATGCGCTATCTCTAGAATGCGGAAGCTCGCAGGCTTTACATTTGTCGGCTTCTGTTGATGGACTCCTTGATGGGTGGGACGATGAACCAACACAAAATAACATTTTCCCTGGAGTCGGAGTTATCGACGCGACTTCCTTGGACGAACCCACGTGGACGAATCTTTTTGATAACGACTCCCTCGCTTCACAGGCCCTTCTCAGTCCCAATGGCATAACGGAACTTTCCAAAACGAGCCTGAATGTGGATTTGGAGCGGCCTGTGATATCAACTGGATCCGCTGATACCATCTTCGATCCAGCATCTGAATTAGTAGATGCGCGCCAAAGTGAAGGCATGTGGGATGACAGCGGGACTCGAGATGACCTTCTTACTTCCGATGGGACAGCCTGGACTTCATGTTCCGATAAAGAGATTTTTCTTGAGTCCCGCCTAGAATCCGCCACTCATTATCAAATCCACCCAGTAACTCGATGTCAAAAGGATGCTTTGACAGCTGGAATCTCTGGGCAACAGATAACGGCCCTAGCAGGGATGAACCGGTTGGCCTCTGGTGGAGAAACTGAGGACATGTTGTTCATGCACTACTTGGATCAAGTATTCTATATTCAGTATCCGTTCTTTGATGCACATAAGAAACAGAAGAGAGGTTGGCTACTTTCTATCCTGAAGGGAGTCAAATCGACATACCACGCAAGCCTCGCTTTAAGTGAGCATCATCTGCTCTCGACACAATTTCCAAATTCCGAAACAACCACTTCGCTTATGAAGCTACGATCCAAGGATAGTTACTATTACCTAGCAAATCAGGAGATGGAACTCAGCGTTGGCGGATCGAGTTGGTGGGACGAAAGCATCCGCCTGGTGCGCAGCATTGAATGTCTTGCTTGTATTCTGCAGCTCTTGTTCTTAGAGGTAGATAAACTGATTTCCAGCTTTACTGCCCACTTGTTGACTCTATATTTCTGCAGATATTTGCGGGCGGTGCAGATAATTGGCAAAACAATCTCCGCACAGCTGCAGGTTTTCTTCCGGCAATCATACAAGGGTCGACTTCTCTTGTACCAGGGCATTTAAGAGATCGGAATATCAGGAGCAGCGAGCCTATACAGAAGTCTCTGGGTGCCAAAGAGAGCGAGGCAATTAACTTCTTGCTTGGCTCCTTTATAGCTCTTGATATTATTTCTTGTGCTTCTACTCGTTCAGCACCTCTGTTGGATATCGATCATATATCAATGCTTCAAACGCTTGACGTTGATTCAAGAAGCTTCATAGGTTGCGATAACACTATCATGATTCTCATCTTCGAGATATCTCAATTGGATAGTTGGAAGAAAGACGCTAATGAGTCTCAAAAGCTAAGCATTGTAGAGTTGGCAAAGCGTGGAAGTCGAATCGAGGAGCGTATCCACCGAAAGATTGCTGAGATTGAGAATGCATCTTTGTCTAGGCTATCTTCGAAAAGGGATTCGAGATTGTTGTTGATGTCAGCTTATGCTGATATCAACAGAATCTTTGCTTTTTCTGCCATTGTCTACCTCCATGTTGTTATTTCCGGAGCCCATCCCGAGCTACCAGAAGTGAAAGAAGGCGTATCGAAGACCCTAGCTGCTCTGCAGAGCTTGGAAGATAAGGAATTGCTGGTAAACGCTGTCTGGGCCTTCTGCATTTCTGGGTCCTTGGCAGTCGAAAGCCAGCAAGGGTCTTTTCGAGAGCTTTTTTCGGCAGCGAAGGTCACTCATTCTACTGTTGGATCATTTGCAGAAGCTTTCAAGATTATGGAAACGTGTTGGGAGATGAGAAGGAATGGTTCATGCAGTTGTGATTGGGTATCTGCAATGGACAAACTCGGTCGACATGTTCTGCTGAGGTAGCTGAGTTGGGGGGAACAATGAGAGCCTCTGTACGAGTCAGAGTCACGGACATGCTTCACAGGGTCTTGGACTGGGGTCTTGGACTGGGGTCTTGGACTGGCTTTGTAATATGACGAAACCCACACTACCCTGCTAGTGTGCCTCGCATAATATTCCTGTAGAGATCACAATTATTTTGGGAATTCTAGAGTAAAGAGAAATCCATCAAGTTTCTAGATATGGAAGTTTGATCACAGATATAAGTTATTATAAATTTCTTCAATTATTTGGCAAAGAAGTGTGGTAACCTTTCTTTAAAACACGATCATATAACAACGCGGACTGTCCACATTTCCTGATATCGTCTGCTCCGTTGATGAAGTGCTGTAACGTGCCGTTGATGACCGGAGGTCGCTCTATTGTACTGTCCGCATTGCATAACAGAGTCTTGTAAAGAAGATTCATTAGTTCAATTGAGCATGATTTGATTAGAATGATCTTACCTCTCTCAAATAGTCCATGCAGTGTGGCCAATGGAGGTCATCGTTCTGATCGATTCCAACGAATTTCCCCTCAGACGAAGCTTGGAGCGCCATTCGCAACCCGGCCAAGCAATGTAATTGATGAAACATAGAAATCATTCCAACTGTCTCCTTTCCATCCGGATTGCCGTCTGAGGCCCAGACCAATCCTCCATGCCCTGAAGTGTCATTCACTGTAAGAGCTTCCCAAAGTATATCTTTTCGGTGGTCAAGTGTCATGTAATCTGTGTTACCACCAAACTTTTGTATCGAGAATTCTGTCTCTTGTGGGCATTGCGCCGAGAATATAGCCAACGGAAGACAGGGAATCAGTATTCCAAGCAGTACTAAGATAATAAAGCGCTCTGTAGTGAAGAGTGGCCGTAAAGAACGAAGATTGAAGGTCTTAAAAGATATAGAACGAGTCCTTGTGTATTGAGATGTTGGAAGTAATTCAGTGCTGTTCTCGTCGAAATCCTTTTCAGGAAGCTTTGTGTACATGTTAGTGGTAAACTTGGGTTGAGAATAACTATGAGTGCAAGCAAGAAAACCTCGGTGGAATGATGTAGGAAGCTAAGTAGGATAACTACATTACCTCGCTCAAAGATCGAGTGCCTCCATACTACAGTGGCGGTAACGCTACTGTACTTGTGGACAGCCGCGCGCAGGTCGCTCGGCGGCATTGAAGGCAGCGCAGTCCCATTATCCATACGGAATGGAATCTTACTGGGTGTAACAGACGGCACGGCAAGACGAGCAATTTTGATCGCTTCGAACCGTTGCGCCTAGTCTCTACAGAAGATGGGCCTCCAGATAAAGTCAAAACCCGGACGAGTTAAGATACCGCTTTGCACGTGAAATATCAAGAAGCTTTCACTTCGACGTCACAACTTCATGAAGAGATATCAACACGATGACGAAAAATGATACGTAAAGTCATATTTAGCAGAGACAGGTTCAATAAATTTCAGAGTATTTCCGGATTGTCATAACTCTAAGGCCTCTCCATATGCCCATGCCCATGGCCACCAACATCTCTCTCTCCTCCAAGCTTTACGCCGAATCCCGCACCAATTGCATCCAGAGGAATATTTGCCATAAATATTGGATAGCAATGCTCAACATGACTTTCTCTATCATACCGATTCTCCAACATGAGACCCTTAGCCCTCATCCTGAACTCCTTTCTCCAATAAAACGCGCAATGTGCAACATGCCAGCCAAATGTTGAATAAAACATTGCTTGAGGTTTCGGCAAGTTTGCCAAAAGTCCAACTTCCTCCAAAGTCATGCCTCTCGTTGCATTACTGTCGGCCCAATACGTCCACTCGCCATTGGGTCCATCACCAGCATGTTCAAATTCAGCTGTGAGTTCATCGTCGCGGCAGTGCGTTGGTAGCCAGCAGGCAGCCAAGCTGTCGTATTTGCAGCCCAAAGACTCCGCCTCAGAAGTTGAGCTGCCACACAGACATTTAATAGGCTTCGGGCCGATCCCGTGGTCTTCCATGAAATGGAGCTTCGCAACGTAGGTCCCGAGGGCCACGACCAACACGACCAAGAAGATGATAATGCCGTACAATTTCCTTCGCCACGTTGTATACTGTGGTCCTGGAATGACTTTGAGCTCAGCTTCACTGCCTTCAGAATACGAAGAGTCTGGTGAAGAGACAAGTGGATGATAGTTCTGGGAGGCCTTCCGGGTGTGTTTGCCCCAGAAAACAGGTGAATTCATTGTGGAGGTGGAGGTTGCAATATGATGTTCTTTTCTTCGCTGGAGGTTCAGACGAGAAATTGAGCAGCAACCAGCCTAAAGAATTGGGCGCTTGAGTCTCGGGTGGGACGGCCATGTAAAGTCCCATTGGTTCTATGCAGGATGTTGACTTCCATGACTTGGAAGGAAATTTGTGGGCGTGATCTACCAAGGGCGGCTGTCACTGACGAGCTCCACTTACCGCGCGGTATGCTGTTGGATGTTTGAAGAAATGGCATTGTTCGGTACTTGGGCCGCCGCGGCGGCATCTTAATACCGCGGAAGAAGTGTGAACACGCACGAGCTAATTGAAAACCTCCACCATACTTGACAAGCTTCCCTTCATGAAGAGTATATGAACCCACAGAGCCCTAAGTACAAAAGGCTCTCGAAAACTACAGCCACCTCCATCACTAACACTTCTTTCAAAGCTCCAAGCCTCCCGTTTCTTACACAAATAATCGCAAAGATGAGGATTACTCTCATCAGTTTCATCTCACTTGCAGTTGCTGTTTCAGCACTACCAACCACCAATGTCAATATAGGAGTTGCTACAGCTAGGTCCCCTCACGGGGAGGGGGCAGACGAATACGGTGCGAAATGGGCCAAGCGTGCTGAAGCTGG